AGCTATAGTGTTGTGCTGAACTGTAAGACTGTTTTGCCAAATGATCTTAGAGTTTTGAGAATGTAATTTCTGTTTCAAGAAATGAGCCAAACCAATGGAGAAAAACTGTAATACGGAACATTTCAAGAACTTTGAAAGTTTCTTCAAGTGCAGTTGCATAAACCATCAAGCGCTATGATGAAACTGGCTCAGAGTTACCTCTGCTGCAGAGGATAAGTTCATTAGAGTTACCAGCGACAGAGATTGCAGCCCAAATAAATGCTTCACAGAGTTCAAGTCACAGACACATCTCAATATCAACTGTTCAGAGGAGACTGTGTGAATCAGGCCTTCATGGTCGAATTGCTGCAAAGAAACCACTACTAAAGGACACCAATAAGAAGAAAAGACTTGCTTGGGCCAAGAAACACAAGCAATGGACATTAGACCGGTGGAAATGTGTCCTTTGGTCTGGAGTCCAAATTGGAGATTTTTGGTTCCAACCGCCGTGTCTTTGTGAGACGCGGTGTGGGTGAACGGATGATCTCCGCATGTGTATTTCCCACCGTAAAGCATGGAGGAGGAGGTGTTATGGTGTGGGGGTGCTTTGCTAGTGACACTGTCTGTGATTTATTTAGAATTCAAGGCACACTTAACCAGCATGGCTACCACAGCATTCTGCAGAAATACGCCATCCCATCTGGTTTGGGCTTAGTGGGACTATCATTTGTTGTGTAAGGGCTATTTTACCAAGAAGGAGAGTGATGGTGTGCTGCATCAGATGACCTGGACTCCACAATCCCCCGACCTCAACCAAATTGAGATGGTTTGGGATGAGTCGGACCACAGAGTGACGGAAAAGCAGCCAACAAGTGCTCAGCATATGTGGGAAATCCTTCAAGACTGTTGGAAAAGCATTCCAGGTGAAGCTGGTTGAGAGAACGCCAAGAGTGTGCAAAGCTGTCATCAAGGCAAATGGTGGCTATTTGAAGAATCTCAAATATAAACTATATTTTGATTTGTTTAACACTTTTTTGGTTACTACATGATTCCATATGTATTATTTCATAGTTTTGATGTCTTCACTATTACTCTACAATGTAAAAAATAGTACAAATAAAGAAAAACCCTTGAATGAGTAGGTGTTCTAAAACTTTTGACCGGTAGTGTAAGTCATGCAAATATAACTTGTCTGTGTAAGCAGTATATAAGAGAACTAACGGGACTGCCCCAGCAGAGCTCCCGACCGACGTGTACTATGTTTTTGGAACCTCGCCAGTTAACTGACAATAAAGAATGATTAATTTAATATTGACTTCAGGTGTCCCTGGTGGTGATTTCCAAGACAAGTTATAGAACCCATTGCCCTTTATTGTTGTGAGGTCTGGGGTCTGCTCACCAACCAAGAATTATCAAAATCCAGAAAAGAGCTGTTCAATTCTACAACCACCTAAAAGGAAGCGATTCCCAAACCTTCCATAACAAAGCCATCCCCTACAGAGAGATGAACCTGGAGAAGAGTCCCCTAAGCAAGCTGGTCCTGGGGCTCTGTTCACAAACACAAACAGACCCCACAGAGCCCCAGGACAGCAACACAATTAGACTCATTAGAAAACAAAAAGATAATTACTTGACACATTGGAAAGAATTAACAAAAAAACAGAGCAAACTAGAAGGCTATTTGGCTCTAAACAGAGAGTACACAGTGGCAGAATACCTGACCACTGTGACTGACCATAAATTAAGGAAAGCTATGTACAGACTCAGTGAGCATAGCCTTGCTATTGAGAGAGGCCGCTGTAGGTAGACCTGGCTCTCAAGAGAAGACAGGCTATGTGCACACTGCCCACAAAATGAGGTGGAAACTGAGCTGCACTTCCTAACTTCCTGCCAAATGTATGACCATATTAGAGACACATATTTCCCTCAGATTACAGCGATCCACAGAGATAGATGGATGGATGGATGGATGGATGGATGGATGGATGGATGGATGGATGGATAGATGGATGGATGGATGGATGGATGGATGGATGGATGGATGGATGGATGGATGGATGGATGGATGGGTGGGTGGGTGGGTGGGTAGGTAGATAGATAGATAGATTGATAGATAGATAGATAGATAGATAGATAGATAGATAGATAGATAGATAAATAGATAGATAGATAGATAGATAGATAGATAGATAGATAGATAGATAGATAGATAGATAGATAGATAGATAGATAGATAGATAGATAGATAGATAGATAGATAGATAGATAGATAGATAGATAGATAGATAGATAGATAGATAGATAGATAGATAGATAGATAGATAGATAGATAGATAGACTAGGAGTGGTAAAGTTATGACATTGTATGAATTTTTTTATTTTTTATTTCACCTTTATTTAACCAGTTAAGCCAGTTGAGAACAGGTTCTCATTTACAACTGCGACCTGGCCAAGATAAAGCATAGTAGTGCAATAAAACAACAACACAGAGTTACATATGGGGTAAAAAACATAAAGTCAGAAATACAACAGAAAATATATATACAGTGTGTGCAAATGTAGCAAGTTATGGAGGTAAGGCAATAAATAGGCTATAGTGCAGAATAATTACAATAGTATTAACACTGGAATGCTAGATGTGCAAGAGATTATGTGCAAATAGAGATACTGGGGTGCAAATGAGCAAAATAAATAACAATATAGGGATGAGGTAGTTGGGTGGGCTAATTTCAGATGGGCTGTGTACAGGTGCAGTGATCGGTAAGGTGCTCTGACAACTGATGCTTAAAGTTATTGAGGGAGATAAGAGTCTCCAGCTTCAGAGATTTTTGCAATTCGTTCCAGTCATTGGCAGCAGAGAACTGGAAGGAATGGCGGCCAAAGGAGGTGTTGGCTTTGGGAATGACCAGTGAGATATACCTGCTGGAGCGCAGACTACGGGTGGGTGCTGCTATGGTGACCAATGAGCTAAGATAAGGCGGGGATTTGCCTAGCAGTGATTTATAGATGGCCTGGAGCCAGTGGGTTTGACGACGAACATGTAGTGAGGACCAGCCAACAAGAGCGTACAGGTCACAGTGGTGGGTAGTGTATGGGGCTTTGGAGACAAAACGGATGGCACTGTGATAGACTACATCCAATTTGCTGAGTAGAGTGTTGGAGGCTATTTTGTAAATGACATCGCCGAAGTCAAGGATCGGTAGGATAGTCAGTTTTACGAGGGCATGTTTGGCAGCATGAGTGAAGGAGGCTTTGTTGCGAAATAGGAAGCCGATTCTAGATTTAACTTTGGATTGGAGATTCTTTATGTGAGTCTGGAAGTTGAGTTTACAGTCTAACCAGACACCTAGGTATTTGTAGTTGTCCACATACTCTAGGTCAGACCCGTCGAGAGTGGTGATTCTAGTCGGGTGGGGCGGGTGCCAGCAGCGTTCGATTGAAAAGCATGCATTTAGTTTTACTAGTGTTTAAGAGCAGTTGGAGGCTACTGAAGGATTGTTGTATGGCATTGAAGCTCGTTTGGAGGTTTGTTAACACAGTGTCCAATGAAGGGCCAGATGTATACAAAATGGTGTCGTCTGCGTAGAGGTGGATCTGAGAGTCACCAGCAGCAAGAGCGACATCATTGATATACACGGAGAAAAGTGTCGGCCCAAGAATTGAACCCTGTGGCACCCCCATAGAGACTGCCATAGGTCCAGACAACAGGCCCTCCGATTTGACACACTGAACTCTATCTGAGAAATAGTTGGTGAACCAGGCGAGGCAGTCATTTGAGAAACCAAGGCTATTTAGTCTGCCAATAAGAATGCGGTGGTTGACAGAGTCGAAAGCCTTGGCCAGGTCGATGAAGACGGCTGCACAGTACTGTCTATTATCAATCGCGGTTATAATATCGTTTAGGACCTTGAGCGTGGCTGAAGTGCACCCGTGACCAGCTCGGAAACCGGATTGCATAGCGGAGAAGGTACGGTGGTATTCGAAATGGTCAATTATCTGTTTGTTAACTTGGCTTTCGAATACTTTCGAAAGGCAGGGCAGGATGGATATAGGTCTGTAGCAATTTGGATCTAGAGTGTCACCCCCTTTGAAGAGGGGGATGACCGCGGCAGCTTTCCAATCTCTGGGGATCTCAGACGTTATGAAAGAGAGGTTGAACAGACTAGTAATAGGGGTAGCGACAATTTCGGCGGCTAGTTTTAGAAAGAAAGGGTCCAGATTGTCTAGCCCAGCTGATTTGTAGGGGTCCAGATTTTGCAGCGCTTTCAAAACATCAGCTGTCTGAATTTGTGTGAAGGAGAAGCGGGGGGGGCATGGGCAAGTTGCAGCAGAGGGTGCAGAGTTGGTGGCCGGGTTAGTGGTAGCCAGATGGAAAGCATGGCCAGCTGTAGCAAAATGCTTGTTGAAATTCTCGATTATTGTAGATTTATCGGTGGTGATAGTGTTTCCTAGCCTCAGTGCAGTGGGCAGCTGGGAGGAAGTTCTCTTATTCTCCATGGACTTTACAGTGTCCCAAAACTTTTTGGAGTTAGTGCTACAGGATGCAAATTTCTGTTTGAAAAAGTTAGCCTTTGCTTTCCTGACTGCTTGTGTATATTGGTTCCTAACTTCCCTGAAAAGTATGAAGAATAAAAATGTATGCACTCACTAACTGTAAGTCGCTCTGGATAAGAGCGTCTGCTAAATGACTGAAATATCAAATACTGAAATATTGTTCTTTTCAGGCTGGGGTCCTTTCTTTCCATCCCATTCTCACATGAAGAGGAAACAGGAAAAGGAACTCCAACTCCCAATGCATGGAGAGAGGAATAAAGGGAGAGAGAGAGAGAGAGGGTTGGGGTGGGTTGGGGTTTGGGGCGGAGGGTGGGAGAGAAAGGGAGGGAGGAACTTCAGAGACTTTTCAGAGCCAGACAGACAGACTGTGAAGAGATGTGTGTTGAAGGGTCTCTCTGACACCCTCCAGGGGTTTGGTCTTCTCTTTATCCCCAGTCTGAGCACCTCGGAGCAGCAGCGCTGTGTGGATGTACCCCCTGGACGCCCTAGCCCTGGAGCCTGTACCAGCCTACCGCTGGAGGATCATGTGTTATCAGCTCTACTCTACTGTGTCTCTGTGTCTGGTCTACTGGTCCAGTCCAGGTATGTAGCTCTACTCTATAGTCTCTGTGTCTGGTCTACTGGTTCACTGCAGGTATCAACAGATAGTTTGTTGATAGTATGACTATCTAAATAAAGTGTCCTGTGTCTATTTACACTTATGACATAAGGCAGCTCCAGACTTTCGACCACTATATGTGATATAAAATATTTATTTTAACAAATCACAAGAACAGCAAACCTTGTGGAGTTGTCTGGCACTTAGAATTAGACTGATATTTCAAACGTCTGGCAGTCCTCAGTCTAAGGACACTACTGGGTGAGTTTCAACCCCACTTAGGTCACCCTAAATCCCTTACGTAGAAACACCAAGGGTCCAAACTTGACACTACAAAACACGTTTCTGTTTCCTTAGCAGAAAACGTTCCTCTCACTTTCATGTGTTGTTTGGACAACAAGCAGCAGTAGGGTTTAACCACCCTGGAGTCGATGTCTGCGCCCCCGTGGAAATCGAATTAGCATCATAAAGAAATCCCCATAGAAATCTGGCTGTTTAAGGTAGAGAAATCCCCATAGAAATCTGGCTGTTTAAGGTAGAGATGTCCGTTTTTTTGCATGGGCTGTGTCTCAATCCACATCATCCGCCGATGTCGGCCTTCCGCCTCTGCGGTGGAAGGTGGCCGAGCTACAGCGGTGGTTGTCAGACCATGAGACATCCCAAAAATCGTTCTTCTCACGAAAACGTCTGTAGCGTCCGAACGGTTTTGTTATGAACTATTAAGATGAGGCTCCCATGAACACCATGGTGTTCTCCGTTTTGCTCTACGACCCCCCCCCCCCCCCCCCCCCCCCCCCGAAGCGTCACGGGACTCGTCTGAAGTCGATACCGCCTATCTGCCAACTTCTGTTTGTAGCGTCCGAACAGTTTGCGCTACACACTAATATGACCCCTCTGTGGTAAGTTGAGACTCTCACGAACATGCACTTGTAGATTGTTTTGCTCTAGGATGCCCTACTAAGTAGTTTAGTGCCTAAAATATGGGGTTAAATATGGGGTTAAATATGGGGTTAAATATGGGGTTAAATATGGGGTTAAATATGGGGTTAAAGATGGGGTTAAATATGGGGTTAAATATGGGGTTAAATATGGGGTTAAATATGGGGTTAAAGATGGGGTTAAATATGGGGTTAAATATGGGGTTAAAGCTGGGGTTAAAGATTGGGTTAAATATGGGGTTAAAGAGGGGTTAAATCTGGGGTTAAATATGGGGTTAAATTGGGGTTAAAGATGGGTTAATATGGGTTAAATATGGGGTTAAATATGGGGTTAAATATGGGGTTAAATATGGGGTTAAAGATGGGGTTAAATATGGGGTTAAATATGGGGTTAAATATGTGTCAAAATAAATAACAAACAATTGCCGGATGGACTTCATGGTTGAGGGTTGAGGAAGTTCAGGAGTAAAAACAAACAAAATAGGATTATTGTAAAATCGACTGTGTCCATAAAATGTATATAGTATGTATAAGCTGGAAGTAGAGGCCTAAGCATTGTTGTTCACTAGTTTACTCCAATTAGGGAAGGGGTGGTGGGGTTGGAAAGTAATAAAGGGAAATATATTTAAAAGAAGGATATGTATATATATGCATGTATATGTATTTATATGTATGTGTATGTATGTATATGTATATGTATATATATATATATATATTTGCGAGAATAAAAAACATATGGGGGATTGGAAGTGATGCAGACAATTACATTGATGGAAGTTACAATCAATCTGCAATATTTAAGCTGATCTACCCCCTAAATTAAAAAAAATAAAATAAAAAATAAATAAAACAACTGCCTGATCTTTCTTATAACTCTCAGATATAGGACAGACACTTCAAAACAAACGTCCTTTAGATTTCTTTGGGGGGGACTATCTGTTTTTCCAGTTATGAATCTGTTTTACAATGTGTTTCTATGGGCTAATAGCAGTAAGGCCAAATTCAATGTTTCATCCCCCCACCCCTTTAGGTATCTTTTTGATACCTAAAGGGGTCCCTACAATCCCAAATAAAATAGCTAAATGATCCTTGGTATGACCATCTTAAAACAATTCCATATGTTAGCTTAGTAGAACCCCTCTAGGGTTAAAGCCAGTCAGTCTCGTACTTTCATGTGATGTTTTGGACAACAGGCAGCAGTCGGTTTTAAGGCCAGCCAGTCAGTCCCTTTGGGGTTACAACACAAATCAGCCCCAGCATTCTGTTTCTTCCCTTTACCCGTAGATAACAGAGGGTTTCCATCTATCATCCTGACAGCTCTGTTTCTCTCCAACGGCACCCTATCCCCTATGGGCCCTGGTCCAAAAGTAGTGCGCTATATAGGGAATAGGGTGCCATTTGGGAGACATCCTGAGCTAAAAGAGACGGCTGAGGCTGTAACAGACCGCCCAACCTTCCCCAAGTCGCGCCCAATACAGCTTGGAATATAACGTTATGTCTTAACACATTCTCATCTTATCTGCTCCTCTTTCTACACAGGTTGGCATTTATTGTCATAAATCTTGCCCTAGAGACAGCTCTGCAGAGTGGGTACTAGCTAGCACAGTCACAAAGTCATAAAATCTGATTTTAAATCTAACCCTAACCTTAACCCTAACCTTAACCACACTGCTAACCCTAATGTCTAACCCTAACCTTAACCCTAATGTCTAACGATTTTTGACTTTGCAGCCTTTAGTGGACATTGCCCAGTTCTGCCTCCAGGACAAGACTCATCCCAATAAACGTCAACCTGCCATCTTTAACTTACCAAGAGCAAATGGGCTGAAGGAAATAACTACATTTTTGTTAAAGGCGCAGTGCAGTCAAAAAACTGATTTTCCTGAGTTTTCTATATATTTCCACACTATGAGGTTGGAATAATACTGTGAAATTGTGGATAATGCCCTTTTACATTTAAGTCATTTAGCAGCTCTTATCCAGAGCGACTTATAGTTAGCGAATACATATTTTTTTTATACTGGCCCCCCGTGGGAATCGAACCCACAACCCTGACGTTGCAAACGCCATGCTCTATCAACTGAGCTACATCCCTGCCGGCCATTCCCTCCCCTACTCTGGACGAATTGTGCACCACCCATGAGTCTCCCGGTCGGCTACAGCAGAGCCTGGATTCGAACCAGGATCTCTAGTGGCACAGTTAGCACTGCGATGCAGTGCCTTAGACCACTGCGCCACTCAGGAGGCTTTTAGTGTAAGAGCAGTTTTAAAAGACCAGCTGAAATTTCAGCCTGTTTTGGTGGGATGGCGTTTTGAAGGTACATTAGTTAATAGACCAATAAGAAAGAGAGTTCCAAATCTCTCTTCCAATAACAGCCAGTTTTTCAGTTTTCCCCTCCCCTCTCAGACCACTCCCAGACAGTCCTAGCTACATTCTTGCTTGATAAATTCCTCTTCGCTAAGCTATTTTTGTTTTCTTTTTTTACCATTTTAATTTTTAAACAATCACAGTAAGGCACTTAATTGTTAAGCAGAAATGATGATATTGAAGTAGAAAACATCAGCATTGTACCTTTAAGATACGTTTTGTCCGTCTCTCAGTGACTCAGTGCCTTCCTATTAATGATGTAGTGCACTCTATGTTTATGTGTTTTGTTTTACCCCATATGTAACTCTGTGTTGTTGTTGTTTTTATCGCACTGCTTTGCTTTATCTTGGCCAGGTCGCAGTTGTAAATGAGAACTTGTTCTCAAACTGGCTTACCTGGTTAAATAAAGGTGAAAAAAATAAAATAAAAAAATATATATATTTAACCAGAGCCCTGGAGGAATAGGGCGCCATTTGGGACGGATAATGTGTGAGGCTGAGGGGGTTTTCAGACTCTGCAGAGAGAGAGCGATACGGAGCCAGACCACCTGTGGATGAAAAACATGAGCTTTTCTTTTGAACAGAAATGAAACAAAAACCGCAGAGGTCTGAGTCACATGAAACACAAGTGAGAAAGGAAACAACGTTCATGCTCAGTGAACATCCAACCATGTTTGATATAATGAACCAGTTAAATTCCCTGTCAAGTTTCATGTTCTTTAAATAGTACCGTGTATTTATGTCTGAGGTGTACAGAACTTGACCCTATGACTTCACAAACACAGATATTTGTTTGATTTGAATGCAAGTCACAGTGCTAATATTTTACCGGACTAGTAGGACCACGTTAGTTAACTGTTGAATATTTAGATAAATATGGTATATGATTATAACACTGCCTTTCCTTTCCTGACTGTATCTCCTCTGTGTATTTGTCAAAGCATCCTCCTTCTCTCTGTCTGTAGAGTGAGAACCAACCTTGTCCTAATACAGTTCGTCTAGTCCAGGCTTCAGGCCAAGACGACTACTTTAACCTTAGTTGGAAGACAGCCACCATAGCATCCATCCACCCAAAACATCTGTCTTCTACACTTCACCCTGCTTGAACGTAACTGTCACGGATTCAGCCGAGGCTGCTCCTCCTCCTTGCTCGGGCAGGCTTCGGCGTTCTTCGTCCCCGGAGTACTAGCTGCTGCCGATCGATGTTTCGGTGTTTGTCTAGTTTAGTCTTTATTGTTTACACCTGTTCCCGATTATGTTTGATTGTAGTCCCTATATTTACCCCTGTCTCTCATTTGGAATTTGTGTGTTATTGTTTATTGTTACGTGTGTCGTTGGTGAGCGGGTTAGTTCCTCCCTGTGTGGAGGTATTCTGTGTGTCGTTGGTGAGCGGGTTAGTTCCTCCCTGTGTGGAGGTATTCTGTGTGTCGTTGGTGAGCGGGTTAGTTCCTCCCTGTGTGGAGGTATTCTGTGTGTCGTTGGTGAGCGGGTTAGTTCCTCCCTGTGTGGAGGTTTTCTGTGTTGAGTTCTTTACTTCGTTTAGTAAAGTACGTTTCTTAGAGTTCTGTGACCTGCGCCTGACTTCTTCCACCGCATTACACTGACACTCGTGACAGTAACAGATCAGAAACACACGTAAGCATTTGCGTGTGTAAACGGTGTAAACGGAGTAATTGTGTGTATCATCTCCCTGTCTGTAGGTTGATTAAACTGTAGGTTGATTAAACTCAACTGATTGTGATGTGATACTTTGACATGTATTTTATCTTAGATTTTTTGTTGTTGCTGCAAGCCACCCCTGGTTGTCAGGAGTCCTCAGGTCTAATCTTCCTTCAACAACAATAGAGGGATGAGGTTCCCATGTGCCGTGGTACCCTGAACATGAACACACTCAGAACACAATCAGCTGGCTTCTTTGTGTGGAACAAATGCTGAACAACAGTAGCTGCTGGGGAAATGACATGTCATTAACATTATAGAACTTGAATTAAGCTGAGTGTTAATGTCAGCAAATGTGAAGATAGAAAAAAAATCACAGAGTTAAGAAGTGAAGTCTTCTTGTTACCACAGTGCCTTCAGGGAGTAGTAACACCCCAGTGCACTACTTTTGTGAGGAATAATAAGAAATAAAATAATCATATTTTAGATATTATTATATTTTTTCCGATTTATCAGGGATGCTGGAGCATCCTCAGCACCCGTACTTCCCGCGGCTTCCCGTACTTCCTGCCGATTGGTAGATGTGTAAAAAAAATCAAAAAGCAGACGCTGAATTTCCCTTTGAGCCTGGTGAAGTTATTAATTAGGCTTTGGATGGTGTATCAATACACCCAGTCACTACAAAGATACAGGCGTCCTTCCTAACTCAGTTGCCGGAGAGGAAATAAACTGTTCAGAGATTTCACCATGAGGCCAATGGTGATTTTAAAACAGTTACAGAGTTTAATGGTTGTGATAGGAGAAAACAGAGGATAGATCAACAACATTGTAAACTCAGCAAAAAAAGAAACGTCCTCTCACTGTCAACTGCGTTTATTTTCAGCAAACTTAACATGTGTAAATATTTGTATGAACATTACAAGATTCAACAACTGAGACATAAACTGAACAAGTTCCACATACATGTGACTAACAGAAATTGAATAATGTGTCCCTGAACAAAGGGGGGGTCAAAATCAAAAGTAACAGTCAGTATCTGGTGTGGCCACCAGCTGCATTAAGTACTGCAGTGCATCTCCTCCTCATGGACTGCACCAGATTTGCCAGTTCTTGCTGTGAGATGTTACCCCACTCTTCCACCAAGGCACCTGCAAGTTCCCAGACATTTCTGGGGGGAATGGCCCTAGCCCTCACCCTCCAATCCAACAGGTCCCAGACGTGCTCAATTGGATTGAGATCCCGGCTCTTTGCTGGCCATGGCAGAACACTGACATTCCTGTCTTGCAGGAAATCACGCACAGAACGAGCAGTATGGCTGGTGGTATTGTCATGCTGGAGGGTCATGTCAGGATGAGCCTGCAGGAAGGGTACCACATGAGGGAGGAGGATGTCTTCCCTGTAACGCACAGCGTTGAGATTGCCTGCAATGACAACAAGCTCAGTCAGATGATGCTATGACACACCGCCCCAGACCATGACGGACCCTCCACCTCCAAATCGATCCCGCTCCAGAGTACAGGCCTCGGTGTAACGCTCATTCCTTCGACGATAAACGCGAATCCGACCATCACCCCTGGTGAGACAAAACCGCGACTCGTCAGTGAAGAGCACTTTTTGCCAGTCCTGTCTGGTCCAGCGACGGTGGGTTTGTGCCCATAGGCGACGTTGTTGCCGGTGATGTCTGGTGAGGACCTGCCTTACAACAGGCCTACAAGCCCTCAGTCCAGCCTCTCTCAGCCTATTGCGGACAGTCTGAGCACTGATGGAGGGATTGTGCGTTCCTGGTGTAACTCGGGCAGTTGTTGTTGCCATCCTGTACCTGTCCCGCAGGTGTGATGTTCGGATGTACCGATCCTGTGCAGGTGTTGTTACACGTGGTCTGCCACTGCGAGGACGATCAGCTGTCCTTCCTGTCTCCTGTAGCGCTGTCTTAGGCATCTCACAGTACGGACATTGCAATTTATTGCCCTGGCCACATCTGCAGTCCTCATGCCTCCTTGCAGCATGCCTAAGGCACGTTCACACAGATGAGCAGGGACCCTGGGCATCTTTCTTTTGGTGTTTTTCAGAGTCAGTAGAAACGCCTCTTTAGTGTCCTAAGTTTTCATAACTGTGACCTTAATTGCCTACCGTCTGTAAGCTGTTAGTGTCTTAATGACCGTTCCACAGGTGCATGTTCATTAATTGTTTATGGTTCATTGAACAAGCATGGGAAACAGTGTTTAATCCCTTTACAATGAAGATCTGTGAAGTTATTTGGATTTTTACAAATTATCTTTGAAAGACAGGGTCCTGAAAAAGGGACGTTTCTTTTTTTGCTGAGTTTAGTTACTCCACACTACTAACCCAAATGACAATGAAAAGAAGCCTGTACAGAATAAAAATATTCCAAAACATGTGTCCTGTTTGCAACAAGGCACTTAAGTAATGGGTTCGTTTCCCACGGGGGGCCAGTATGAAAATAAAAATGTATGCACTCACTAACTGTAAGTCGCTCTGGATAAGAGCGTCTGCTAAATGACTGAAATATAAATATAATAATACTGCCAAAAATGTGGCAAAGAAATGAACTTTTTGTCCTGAATACAAAGTGTTTGGGGCAAATCCAATACAACATCACTGAGTACCACCCTTCATATTTTCAAGCATGGTGGTGGCTGCATCATGTTATGGGTGTGCTTGTCATCGACATGGACTAGGGAGTTTTCTAGGATAAAAAGAAACAGAATACAGCTATAAGCACAGACAAAATCTGGTTCAGTCTGCTTTCCAACAGACACTGGGAGACGAATTCACCTTTCAGCAGGACAATAACCTAAAACACAAGGCCATTCAAGACGACATTGAATGTTCCTGAGTGGCCTAGTTACAGTTTTGACTTAAATCGGCTTGAAAATCTATGGCAAGACTTGAAAATGGCTGTCTAGCAATGATCAACAATCAACTTGACAGAGCTTGAAGAATTTAAAAAAGAATAATGTGCAAATATTGTACAATCCAGGTGTGCAAAGCACTTAGAGACTTACCCTGAAAGACTCACAGCTGTAATCGCCGCCACAAGTGCTTCTACAAAGTATTCACTCAGAGGTGTAAATAATACATTTCTGTATTTAATTTTCAGTATATTTGCCAACATTTCTAAAAACATGTTTTTCACTTTGTCATTATGGGGTATTGTGTGTAGATGGGTGAGATTTTTCTTTTGATTCAGGGTGTAACACAAAAAATTGTGGAATAAGTCAAGGGGTGTGAACTTATAATACATAGATAGGGAACGAGATGATTAATAGCGAATGTAGTTTTACAGATCAACAGAGGTCATACAGTATTATAGGATCAACAGAGGTCATACAGTATTATAGGATCAACAGAGCTACAGAGGTCATACAGTATTATAGGATCAACAGAGGTCATACAGTATTATAGGATCAACAGAGGTCATACAGTATTATAGGATCAACAGAGCTACAGAGGTCATACAGTATTATAGGATCAACAGAGGTCATACAGTATTATAGGATCAACAGAGGTCATACAGTATTATAGGATCAACAGAGGTCAAACAGTATTATAGGATCAACAGAGGTCATACAGTATTATAGGATCAACAGAGGTCATACAGTATTATGGAATCAACAGAGGTCATACAGTCACAAGGTCATACCGTATAGGATCAACAGAGGTCATACATTATTATAGGATCAACAGAGGTCATACAGTATTATAGGATCAACAGAGGTCATACAGTATTATAGGATCAACAGAGGTCATACAGTATTATAGGATCAACAGAGGTCATACAGTATTATAGGATCAACAGAGGTCATACAGTATTATAGGATCAACAGAGGTCATACAGTATTATGGGATCAACAGAGGTCATACAGTATTATAGGATCAACAGAGGTCATACAGTATTATAGGATCAACAGAGGTCATACAGTATTATAGGATCAACAGAGGTCATACAGTATTATAGGATCAACAGAGGTCATACAGTATTATAGGATCAACAGAGGTCATACAGTATTATAGGATCAACAGAGGTCATACAGTATTATAGGATCAACAGAGGTCATACAGTATTATAGGATCAACAGAGCTACAGAGGTCATACAGTATTATAGGATCAACAGAGCTACAGAGGTCATACAGTATTATAGGATCAACAGAGGTCATACAGTATTATAGGATCAACAGAGGTCAAACCTATTAAGGGTCAACAGAGGGGCAACAGATTAGACAACAAAGGGTTAAATATTAGGGGTCAACGAGGATACGTATTTTAGGGGTCAAAAGATTACATATTAAAAAAGGGGTAAAAAGGGATACATATTATAGGATAAAAAAGGTCATACATATTATTTTTAAAACAGAAAACCCAAGATGTTTCATTGAAGGATGGTTTGAATGGATGTGCCCCGAATGAAGTTTGAAAGGGGGGGGAAAGGGAAAACAGGGTTTCCCGAGTGAGTGATGGTGCAATATAGTTTTATGATAGGGGGGTTTTCCTGCATGGGTTTGTGTCCCCGGGGGTTTAATTGCTACGGGGGGTGTCTTGTGGGGGTGTGGGGCGGTGTGTTGTTGGGGTGGTGGGGGTGTGGTGGGTTGTGTGCGTTGGGGGGATTCGGGGGGTCGGCCCCCCGGAGCGGGGAGAACGTGATAAAAAAGCAGGACCTCAGTAGCAGTCTAAATACTCCCAAAAGCCCCCCCCCATTTTTAAAAAAAAACCCCCAAAAAAATTAAAATTTATTTCTATTTTTTTTATTTAATATTATTTCGTTTTTTTTATTTTTTTTTTTTTTTAAAAATTTTCTGTATTTATTTTTTATTTTTTTTCTTTTTTTTTTTTTTTCTATTTGCCCCCTTAAAATTTTTTTTGTTTTTTTTTTTTTTTTTTTTTTTTTTTTCTTTTTTCCTTTTTTTTTTTTTTTTTTTTTTTCTTTTTTGTTGTTTGTTTCCCTTTTTTTTTGCTTGTTTTTTCTTGGTTTTTGTCTCTTTTTTTTTTTTTTTTTTTCTATCTTTTTTTTTCTTTTTCTTTTTTTTTTTTTTTTTTCCCCCTTTTCTTTCCCCCGATTTTTTTTTTCCCTTTCCCCTTTTCTCCTTTTCGTTGGGGCCCCTTTTTTTTTTTTTAAAAAAGCTCCCCTTTTTTTCCCCCCCTCTCTGTTTTTCTTCTTCTTCTCTTCTTTTTCCCCCTCTCCTTCTCCATCCCCCCCCTCCCTTTCCCTTAAACTTTTTCCTTGGGGGGGTTTTTTTTTCTTTTCGGCCCCCCTTTTTTTTCTGATTTCAGGCCCCCATGCAGAGTATTACATTTTAAATTCATTTTTTTAAAAACAAAAGGGAAACTCAGATTGTCTAGTTTACATGGAGGCCAAAACAATTTAATCCTTGTAACAATGTCCGCCGGGGGTCAAGTTGGGAAAAGCAGTTGGGTTCGATGGGATGGTCCCCATTGGTCTCCACGAAATTAAATTGATCATCAACATTCCATTGATTTTATATTTTGGGAAAAAAAAAGGGGAACTTGGAGAGGAAGGGAACCCTACTGTATGGTTAGCTGATTTTATGCATGTCCAAAAATGATGAGGGAGGAGGGGGTGTAACTTTCAGGTAGCTTTAATCGGACTCAATTTTTATTTGAATCATAATGTTTAAAGTCTTCCCTGTTACTGGGGGGATACCCATCAGTTCACCGTTAGTTTCCTGTCTGTGAGGGGCTTTCCAGGCCTGAACCCTTTTCCCCCTAAATATCTTCCCACTACCTCAGATCTTCCGTCTACTACGTATCTTTCCGTTCCACAGTATCTTCCGTCTACATAGTATCTTCCCCGTTACAATATTCCTGTTACCCCCTAGTATCTCCTGTCTTCCTAGTATCTTCTGTCTATCTAAGATTTCTTGTCACCCATAGTATCTTCCCGTTACTATATATCTTCCGTCTATAGTATCTTTCCGTTATCTATAGTATTTCCGTCTACTACTAATTTTTTCCCTGTTACCTACTAGTATCTTCCTGTCTACCTACTAGTATTTTCCGTCTACCTACTAGTATCTTCGTCTACTAGTAGATTCCTGTCTACCTACTAGTATCTTCCGTCTACTACTAGTATCTTCCTGTCTACCTACTAGTATCTTCCTGTCTACCTACAGTACTTCCTGTCTACCTACTAGTATCTTCCTGTCTACCTACTAGTATCTTCCTGTCTACTAGTATATTCCTGTCTACCTACTAGTATCTTCCTGTCTATCTACTAGTATCTTCCTGTCTACCTACTAGTATCTTCCTGTCTACCTACTAGTATCTTCCTGTCTACCTACTAGTATCTTCCTGTTTACTACTAGTAAATCTTCCTGTCTACCTACTAGTATCTTCCTGTCTACCTACTAGTATCTTCCTGTTACTACTAGTATCTTCCTGTCTACCTACTAGTATCTTCCTGTCTACCTACTAGTATCTTCCTGTCTACCTACTAGTATCTTCCTGTCTACCTGCTAGTATCTTCCTGTCTACCTACTAGTATCTTCCTGTCTACCTACTAGTATCTTCCTGTCTACTAATATCTTCCTGTCTACCTACTAGTATCTTCCTGTCTACCTGCTAGTATCTTCCTGTCTACCTACTAGTATCTTCCTGTCTACCTACTAGTATCTTCCTGTCTACCTACTAGTATCTTCCTGTCTACCTACTAGTATCTTCCTGTCTACCTACTAGTATCTTCCTGTCTACCTACTAGTATCTTCCTGTCTACCTACTAGTATCTTCCTGTCTACCTACTAGTATCTTCCTGTCTACTAGTATATTCCTGTCTACCTACTAGTATCTTCTGTCTACCTACTAGTATCTTTCCTGTCTATCTACTAGTATCTTCCTGTCTTTACTAGTATCTTCCTGTCTACCTACTAGTACTTCCTGTCTACCTACTAGTATCTTCCTGTCTACTCTAGTATTCCTGTCTACCTACTAGTATCTTCCTGTTTACCTACTAGTATGGCTTCCTGTCTACCTACTAGTATCTTCCTGTCTACCTACTAGTATCTTCCTGTTTACCTACGATATCTTCCTGTCTACCTACTAGTATCTTCCTGTCTACCTACTAGTATCTTCCTGATCTACCTACTAGTATCTTCCGTTCTACCTGCTAGTATCTTCCTGTCTACCTACGAGTATCTTCCTGTCTACCTACTAGTATCTTCCTGTCTACCTACTAGTATATTCCTGTCTACCTACTAGTATACTTCCTGTCTACCTACTAGTATCTTCCTGTCTACCTACTAGTATCTTCCTGTCTACCTACTAGTATCTTCCTGTCTACCTACTAGTATCTTCCTGTCTACCTACTAGTATCTTCCTGTCTACCTACTAGTATCTTCCTGTCTACCTACTAGTATCTTCCTGTCTACCTACTAGTATCTTCCTGTCTACCTGCTAGTATCTTCCTGTCTACCTACTAGTATCTTCCTGTCTATCTACTAGTATCTTCCTGTCTACCTACTAGTATCTTCCTGTCTATCTACTAGTATCTTCCTGTCTACCTACTAGTATCTTCCTGTATACCTTCTAGTATCTTCCTGTATACCTACTACATGTATAAGTCCTTATTTGCGTACTAGACACTAGATTCTGTGTTGATTCATGAGAATTGGCTTCTCTTTCTGTCTGAATCAGATCCATTACACTACACTGTTCCATTGGTTGTCAGATCAATTCGCCCAGCCATAACATGTGTACAACAACCATAAAGTGTATCGGCATGGTCACAGATCTGTTTATGCTGTCTCGGATTATACCATAAAGTAAAACGCCTGGTCCCAGATCTGTTTATGCTGTCTAGCCAGCTCCTCTGGTCATTACCTAGCCTGGTCCCAGATCTGTTTAATCAGACATGGTCTTTGTAAATGTTACATGATTCTCTGCCTGTGGATTAATAACACACACACACTAGCATCAAATTAAATCAAATGTATTTATAAAGCCCTTTTTACATCAGCAGATGTCACAAAGTGCTTATACAGAAACTCCCTGGAAAGGCAGGAACCTAGGAAGAAACCTAGAGAGGGACAAGGCTCTGAGGGGTGGCCAGTCCACATCTGGCTATGCCAGGTGGTGATACCATGTGTTGCACTGATACCAACGTCCTCAATATCATGTAGATACTTTATGTATATAATGTCTCAAAATTACAATTAATGTGATATCTGATAATACCCCTACTGCTGCAAATAAGCATCTGGAATTTATTTCCAGTTTGTCTTTTGTGTCCAATATCTAATATTTATCTGTTCAAATTCTAATACTTACAGTACCAGTCAAAAGTTTGGACACACCTACTCATTACAGGGTTTTTCTTTATTTTTACTATTTTTTACTGTGTAGAATAATAGTGAAGACATCAAAACTATGAAATAACACATATGGAATCATGTAGTAACCAAAACAGTGTTAAACAAATCAAAATAGATTTTATATTTGAGATTCTTAAAATAGCCACCCTTTTGCCTTGATGACAGCTTTGCACACCCTTGGTGTTCTCTCAACCAGCATCACCTGGAATGCTTTTCCAACAGTCTTGACGGAGTTCCCACATATGCTGAGCACTTGTTGGCAGCTTTTCCTTCACTCTGCCGTCCGACTCATCCCAAACCATCTCATTTGGGTTGAGGTCGGGGGATCTGTCGTAGCCGGCCGCGACCGGGAGACCCATGGGGCGGCGCACAATTGGCCCAGGGTAGGGGAGAGAATGGCCGGCAGGGATGTAGCTCAGTTTGTAGAGCATGGCGTTTGCAACGCCAGGGTTGTGGGTTCGATTCCCAAGGGGGGTATGAAAAAAATCAAAAATAAATATGTATGCACTCACTAACTGTAAGTCGCTCTGGATAAGAGCGTCTGCTAAATGACTAAAATGTAAATGTAAAATGTAATTGTGGAGGCCAAGTCATCTGATGCAGCACTCCATCACTCTCCTTCTTGGTCAAATAGCCCTCACACAGCCTGGAGGTGTGTTGAGTCATTGTCCTGTTTGAAAAACAAATGATAGTCCCACTAAGCCCAAACCAGATGGGATGGCATATCGCTGCAGAATGCTGTGGTAGCCATGCTGATTAAGTAAAAAAAAAAATATCACAGACAGTGTCACCAGAAAAGCACCCCCACACCATAACACCTCCTCCTCCATGCTTTACGGTGGGAAATACACATGCGGAGATCATCCGTTCACCCACACCACGTCTCACAAAGACACGGCGGTTGGAACCAAAAATCTCCAATTTGGACTCCAGACCAAAGGACACATTTCCACCGGTCTAATGTCCATTGCTCGTGTTTTTTCAGGCCCAAGCAAGTCTCTTCTTCTTATTGGTGTCCTTTAGTAGTGGTTTCTTTGCAGCAATTTAACCATGAAGGCTTGATTCACGCAGTCTCCTCTGAACAGTTGATGTTGAGATGTGTCTGTTACTTGAACTCTGTGAAGCATTTATTTGGGCTGCAATTTCTGAGGCTGGTAACTCTAAGGAACTTATCCTCTGCAGCAGTGGTAACTCTGGGTCTTCCTTTCCTGTGGCGGTCCTCATTAGAGCCAGTTTCATCATAGCGCTTGATGGTTTTTGCGACTGCACTTGAAGAAACTTTCAAAGTTCTTGAAATGTTCCGTATTGACTGACCTTCATGTCTTAAAGTAATGATGGACTGTTGTTTCTCTTTGCTTATTTGAGCTGTTCTTGCCATAAAATGGACTTGGTCTTTTACCAAATAGGTATATCTTCTGTATACCCCCCCCTACCTTGTCACAACACAACTGATTGGCTCAAACGCATTAAGAAGGAAAGAAATTCCACAAATTAACTTTTAAGAAGGCACATGTATCTGTTCAATATCTAATACTTATCTGTCCCCCTCCCCCCCCCCCCCGTCCCCCCCTTGCATTGTGTGTGTGTGTATACTTGTCTGTCTGTCTGTCTGTCTGTCTGTCTGTCTGTCTGTCTGTCTGTCTGTCTGTCTGTCTGTCTGTCTGTCTGTCTGTCTGTCTGTCTGCCTGCCTGCCTGCCTGCCTGCTTGCCTGCCTGCCTGCCTGCCTGCCTGCCTGCCTGCCTGCCTGCCTGCCTGCCTGCCTGTCTGTCTGTCTGTCTGTCTGTCTGCCTGTCTGTCCTAGGTGATGCCCTAGACATAGCAGACCTGACCTTGGTGAACCCTGACCCCATGGTGACATCATCAGACTCCTCCCTCCACTGTGTCAGTAGTGACTGGACCTCCCGGCAGGACAGTGATGCCTCCAGCTTCAGCAGTACCCTGGGTATGGAATGGGACTTTCACACAAGATGAACACATTACGTTTGCAATTCTAACACATTCCATGGCATGTGAAATGTCTTGAAAACCTGTTTCCAATACATTTTAATTTATTTAGGAATTAAGAAATGCGCTACAAACTAGCTTTTCAGGTAAACTTGTGAAAGCAAACAGCAAAGACAAGGTAGAATGCATTTTTAACATGTTAAAATTCATTTTGCGTTACAATAAAGTCATTATTGTGTAATACTTGTATTTCCAACTGGTTTTTAACATGTACATTTCCGTTAGGTATGGGCCGTGACTTCCCCCTGACCCACCCCCAGAGCCTGCCTGTCAGCCCCGATACAGCCTACCACCATGCCTCCAAGATGGAGTGGAAGACTCGCAGTGATGTCTTTGGGGAGTTCTACTGCAGGGCAAAAAATAGTGATACAAATCAGATTTACACATATAAGATGCTAAATGAAGGTAATAACGCATTGATATTGTGTTCTAACCTGTACAGGTCTGTTTTATTGTTTTGAGGCTTTCCTATCTTTGTGGTGAACGGTTGTGGCTATGAGGCCACACAGGGTGCACACTGCTTTCATTGCAAGATGTTCCTAAATGAAACACTTAACAACCGATTGATAATGAGGATACATACTGTTATTCTGACTCCCTATTGAAACACTAACCCACCACTGAGAGTCAAGTTATCTACCCACCACTGAGAGTCAAGTTATCTACCCACCACTGAGAGTCAAGTTATCTACCCACCACTGAGAGTCAAGTTATCTACCCACCACTGAGAGTAAAGTTATCTACCCACCACTGAGAGTCAAGTTATCTACCCACCACTGAGAGTCAAGTTATCTACCCACCACTGAGAGTAAAGTTATCTACCCACCACTGAGAGTAAAGTTGTCTACCCACCACTGAGAGTAAAGTTATCTACCCACCACTAAGAGTAAAGTTGTGTTTGTGTTTGCCTCCCCAGCTGTGTTTCTACCAAAGTCCCTAACCATCACAGTCAGTATAGGAGAAGATGTCAACATCTGTTTCACTCGCAGGAAAGTATTCGCAGAGGACGCAGTCATCTATAAGAATGGTAAACCTTACAGTATGTAAATAGTTATATCGTTATGTTGCTTGTTTGTTTGTTTGTTTGTATAAAAGTGTATTTTATTTTTGTATTGTCATGGTTGCTGATATCTCTCTGTGACGTGATCCTCCAATATTCACTAACCAGTCATTTTGTTATGTACACCCATCTAGTACTGGGTCAAGGCCCCCTTTGCCCCCTTTGCCTCCAGAACAGCATGAATTCTTCGGGTCATGGATTCTACAAGGCGTCAGAAACGTTCCACAGGGATGTTGGTCCATGCTGACGCCATGGCGTCACGTAGTTGCTGCAGATTGGACGGCGGTACATTCATGCTGCCAACAGCCCGTTCCATCTCATCCCAAAGATACTCTATTGGGTTTGGTCAGCGACAATGTTCAGATACGCTGTGGCGTCAATCGTTGCTCAATTGGTATCAAGGGACCTAACGTGTGCCAGGAAAACATTCCCCACACCAGCACACCACCGCCACCAGCCTGTACCGTTGACACCAGGCAGGATGGCGCCATGGACTCGTGCTGCTTACACCAAACCATGACTCTGCCATCAGCATGACGCAACAGGAACCGGGATTAATCGGACCTGGCAATGTTTTTCCACTCCTCAGTTGTCCAGTGTTGGTGATGGCGTGCCCACTGGAGCCACTTCTTCTTGTTTTTAGCTGATAGGAGTGGAACCCGGTGTGGTCGTCTTCTGCAATAGCCCGTCCGTGACAAGGACCAACGAGTTGTGCGTTCCAAGATGCCGTTCTGCACACCACTGTTGTACTGCGCCGTTATTTGTATGTTTGTGGCTCGCCTGTTAGCTTGCACGATTCTTGCCATTCTCCTTGGACCTCTCATCAATGAGCTGTTTTCGCCCACAGGACTGCAGCTGACTGGATGTTTTTGGTATGTCGCAGCACCATTCTCGGTAAACCCTAAACCATGGATCGTGAACTAGATTCAGCCGCGGGACGATTTTTTTCTTGAGCAGATGGTCGGGGGACCGGAACATAATTACAAATAATTTGTAGACTGCAAATTGACTGCAAGAAGCCCAAACAGATGTAATATTTGACTAAAACATAATCATTTCAAACCTTGCTTACACATCTTTCTTTTACGCGTGGGAATACTTGGGAACAGATTTCCAAAATGAAAATCACTTGGAGCTGATTTCCTGCTGTTTTCACAGTATTTTATGTCCAACAATGAAAATGATAAATTATAAAAACATTTACAGTACCAGTCAAAAGTTTGGACACACCTCCTCATTCAAGGGTTTTTCTTTATTTTTACTATTTTCTACATTGTAGAGTATTAGTGAAGACATCAAAACCATGAAATAACACATATGGAATCATGTAGTAACCAGAAAAGTGTTAAACAAATCAAAATATATTTTAGATTTTAGATTCTTCAAAGTAGCCACCCTTTGCCTTGATGACAGATTTGCAAATTGTCCGGGTAGCCATTTGATGAGCTGTTCAGGAGTCTTATGGCTTGGGGGTAGAAGCTGTTAAGAAGCCTTTTGGACCTAGACTTGACGCTCCAGTACCGCTTGCTGTGCAGTAGCAGAGAGAACAGTCTATGACTTGGGTGACTGGAGTCTTTGACCATTTTTAGGGCCTTCCTCTGACACCACCTGGTATAGAGGTCCTGGATGGCAGGAAGCTTGGCCCCAGTGATGTACTGGGCCGTACCCTCTGTAGTGCCTTGCGGTCAAAGGCTGAGCAGTTGCCATACCAGGCGGTAATGCAACTCGACAGGATGCTCTGGATGGTGCAGCTGTAGAACTTTTTGAGGATCTGAGGATCATGCCAAATCTTTTCAGTCTCCTGAGGGGGAATAGGCTTTGTCGTGCCCTCTTCACGACTGTCTTGGTGTGTTTGGACCATGATAGGTTGTTGGTGATGTGGACACCAAGGAACTTGTGCAATATAGACTTGGTCTTTTACCAAATAGGGCTATCTTCTGTATATCAACCCTACCTTGTCACATAAAAAAAAAAAAAAAACACAACTGATTGGCTCAAACGCATTAAGAAGGAAAGAAATTCCACAAATTAACTTTTAACAAGGCACACCTGTTAATTGAAATCCATTCCAGGTGACTACCTCATGAAGCTGGTTGAGAGAATGCCAAGAGTGTGCAAAGCTGTCATCAAGGCAAAGGGTGGCTACTATAATAATAATTTCAAATATAAAATATATTTTGATTTCTTTAGCACTTTTTTGGTTACTACATGATTCAGTATGTGTTATTTCATAGTTTTGATGTCTTCACTATTATTCTACAATGTAGAAAAATAGTAAAAATTAAGAAAAACCCTGGAACGAGTAGGTCTGTCCAAACCTTTGACTGGTACTGTATATATCTTTACATTTTTTTGCTCTAAAAACTTGGGAGGCCAAATAAGGCTAGCAGGTCGCCAGTTGGGGTGAAAAGCCCAGGAGGGCGGCCGTTTCTGAGATACTGGATCCGGCGCAACTGGCACCGATGATCACACCACACTCAAAGCCGCTTAGGTCTCTCGTTTTGCCCGTTCTAACGTTCAATCGAACAGTGACTGAATGCCTCGATGCCTGTCTGCCTGCTTTAAATATAGCAAACCACGTCCACGTGACTCAAGGTCTGCAGGAGCGATCCATTTTCGTGAACGGCGTGGTGTACATAATAAACTAGCCACGTGTATTGTATATTGTTTTCTGATAGGTTTTATTTTTATTTTTTTATGCCCATATTGTGTACATGCTATTCTTAACCTGACTACACCACATTGGAAGGCCCAAAAAATGGTCAAAGGCTCCAGCCACCCAAGTCAGAGACTGTTCTCTCTGCTACCGCACGGCAATCGGTACCGAAGCGCCAAGTCTAGGTCCAAAAGGCTCCTTAACAGCTTCTACCCCCCAAGCCATAAGACTGCTGAACAATTAATCAAATGGCCACCCGGACTACTTACATTGACCCCCGCACATTGACTCAGTACCGGTACCCCCCTGTATATAGCCTTCCTACTGTTATTTCCCATTGACTCTGTACCGGTACCCCCTGTATATAGCCTCCCTACTGTTATTACACATTGACTCTGTACCGGTACCCCCTGTATATAGCCTCCCTACTGTTATTACACATTGACTCAGTACCGGTACCCCCTGTATATAGCCTCCCTACTGTTATTACACATTGACTCTGTACCGGTACCCCCTGTAATAGCCTCCCTAGTTATTTCACTTATCGTACCGGGACCCCCCTGTTTTAGCCCCTATGTTATTACACATTTACTCGTCCGGTACCCCCCCCTTTTAGCCTCCCTACTGTTATTCCCTTGATCTGTACCGGTACCCCCCCCGTATATAGCCTCCTACTGTATTCCATTGACTCGTACCCGGGACCCCGTTTTAGCCTCCCACTTTTATTACACTTGACTGGCCCGGGGTTTAAACCCCCCCCCCCCCGTATAAGCCTCCCTCTTATTCCTGACTCTGTACCGGGCCCCCTGTATTACCCCTTACTGTTTTTCACATTGATTCAACCGGGGACCCCCCCCGTATATAGCCTCCCTACTTTATTAAAAATTGACTCATCCGGTCCCCCTGATATGCCTCATTATTGTTATTTTAGTGTGTTACTTTTATTTTACTTTATTTTATTTAGTAAATATTTTCTTAACTCTTTCTTGAACTGCATTGCTGGTTAAGGGCTTGTAAGTAAGTATTTCACTGTAAGGTCTGCACCTGTTGGGCTTGGACGTACCAAATGTCTCAGTGTAGAAGTGCTGATATAGGATCAGGTCTCCATGTAATTTTATACGTTGTGATCTAAAATTCTAAACTGATCCGTGATCAGCACTCCTACTCTGAGAGAGGCTTGATGCATATGGCCCCCCTGGTCAACAATATTTAGCCCCTCATGTTAACACTGATCTTCAGCATGTAGTTATTTATCTACCTTAAGCTGAATGCACTGACTGTAAGTCACTCTGGATAAGAGTGTCTGCTGAGGGATGGATCGAAATTTACAGAATGGTGGAAAATGGGGGGGGGTCATGCTTTTAACATTCCAGTCCAGGGGAGGGTTTAGTATTTTTTTTAATAAATCTAGTCCAGGGGAGGGGGGGAGGGTCATGTAATGTGTAATTGATGAAATTTCAATATTTTCTCAGTGTTTTATGATTTGTTGCTTTTTAGGCTATATATCAATGTCTGGCAGATGCTGCCCCTCATCTCTGATTCTCCGCTGGGGGCGCGCAATAGGCTGTAGGCTACGAAGTGCATGCTGGGAGAAGCACAGAGCAAAGTTATATTTCTTAGATAGCTGCTGGGATGGTGTAAATAAAACTACCCTGACCCCCGGCCTGCTCTGCTCTCGCTGATCAAAACCTTTTGCCTAACTAACACTGTGCTGTGTAGGCCTACAGTGACAGTTCAGGAGGAGAGTCGAAGGCGTCTTTCAATATATATTTTTTTGATTAGGCCTAGTCCCCAAAATAGCCTACTGTAGGCCTATCTCTCTGTCCATTCTTAGCCTGTCATTTCGGTCATTTGTGTGGAATTAAAAATATTCTACTAATATGTAAAATGACATGGCCATTTTTTCTCTGACCTGCAAATAAGATAATAGATGAATGCAATGCTTTTACTATAAAGGAGATCTTTCCACCCCTACTGTTGTCCACGGTGGTCTGCGAACCCACAACCTTCTGGCCCGCAGCCCTGTGCGCTGTCAACATCGTTGGTCTGCGAACCCACAACCTTCTGGCCCGCAGCCCTGTGCGCTGTCAACATCGTTGGTCTGCGAACCCACAACCTTCTGGACCGCAGCCCTGTGCGCTGTCAACATCGTTGCGTTGCCGTTTAATGATTACAGGAGGAAGAACCGTTTCTAAAACTGCATATCTAAGGCTCTGGTCTGTCCAGGAAGTGAAACGGTAGACATGTTCTCTGCTATCCACCTTGTTGTAATAATTATTTTGGGTACAGGGGAGGGTCACTTGTTTAGTTTTTTTCAAGTGTTCAGGGAGGGTTAAGGTCCAATATGTTTTGCTGAAGGGATCCGTTTTCATTTCCGAGAGGTCCGGTTTACTCCATGCAACTCTTATCATAAACAACGTTCACTCACCATGTAACCAAAGTGTGAATGTAATGTGAAACCTCTTGTCTCTCTCAGGCTCCTTCATTCACTCAGTACCTAAGAATGAGATCCCAGACATCCTGGTGTACCCCGTCCAGGGAGTGGCGTCTTCAGACGCAGGTCTCTACACAGCCAGGTCCATCGCTGGAGCCAAGTCCACATCAGCCATCACCAGGCTCATCGTCAGAAGTTAGTACTTTTACACAATACTACCCAATACCACCAAATACTACTGTAATACTACCCAATAACACCAAATACTACTGTAATACTACCCAATACCACCAAATACTACTGTAATACTACCCAACTCTACCAAATACTACTGTAATACTACCCAATACCACCAAATACTACTGTAATACTACCCAATACCACCAAATACTACTGCAATACTACCCAATACTACCCATTACTACACCCTACTACAGCAGTACAACCCAATACCCTATAATACCCAATACTACAGAATACTACCCAATACTACTGCAGTTCTACTTCTACACAATACTATTGTAGTACTACACAATGTTCCTTATTCTACCAAAACAACCCGTTTTTTGCTTTCGTCAGTTTTGTGTGAAACTTGTATCTGTTAGCTACACTGGAAATTCAATTGACCATTTAGAATTGACTCAAGCCAACTAAATGTAGTGTATCCATTGCAGCCCCAACACATTTCGGTCCAGGATTATTTTCCCTCAGCCCAGAGAATTCCTTTCTAACAAGTGCTCTATGTTTCAATCCCAGAATGCAAGGCTGGCCTGTGGGGTCCTAGCTGTCAACATAGCTGTCCTCTGTGCTCTAACGGAGGGGTCTGTCATGACGAGACAGGAGAATGCATCTGTCCACCTGGCTTCAAGGGACACACCTGTGAAACTGGTAAAAAGCCAATGAATGCTGACTATAAATGTCTTTGTAAAAAACACATAATCTAATATCCTGGTAGGCCTTCATCTCATATCTAATATCCTGGTAGGCCTTCATCTCATATCTAATAGACTGGTAGGCCTTCATCTCATATCTAATAGACTGGTAGGCCTTCATCTCATATCTAATAGACTGGTAGGCCTACATCTCATATCTAATAGCCTGGTAGGCCTTCATCTCATATCTAATAGACTGGTAGGCCTTCATCTCATATCTAATAGACTGGTAGGCCTTCATCTCATATCTAATATCCTGGTAGGCCTACATCTCATATCTAATAGCCTGGTAGGCCTTCATCTCATATCTAATAGCCTGGTAGGCCTACATCTCATATCTAATATCCTGGTAGGCCTACATCTCATATCTAATAGACTGGTAGGCCTTCATCTCATATCTAATAGACTGGTAGGCCTTCATCTCATATATAATATCCTGGTAGGCCTACATCTCATATCTAATAGACTGGTAGATGAAGGGGAGGAGACATGTTAAAGAAGGATTTTTAAGTCTTGAGACAATAGAGACATGGATTGTGTGCCATTCAGAGGAAGAATGGGCAAGACAAAACATTCAAGTGCCTTTGAACGGGGTATGGTAGTAGTTGCCAGGTGCACCGGTTTGTGTCAAGAACTGCAACGCTGCTGGGTTTTACACACTCAACAGTTTCGAGTGTGTTTCAAGAACGGTCCACCACCCAAAAGACATCCAGACAACTTGACTGTGGGAAGCATTGGAGGCAACATGGGCCAGCATCCCTGTGGAACGCTTTCGACGCCTTGTAGATTCCATGCCCCGACAAATTGAGGCTGTTCTGAGGGCAAAAGGGGGGGTGTTCTTAATGTTTTGTACATTCTTATTTAACTTATATAAATTATATATATATTTATCATCATAGGCTTTTCTTTTCAATGTTAGAATTGTTTAATTGAAAACCTTTATTGCCCCGAAGGGAATCTGTTTTTAGATTATAGAATTATAGAATGTAGTCGAGTTATAGTGGAATGTGTTTTATTGTCTACTAAATGTGTTCTGGCTGATTATACTGCTGGGGTTTAATGCTGTAGTCTGCTACTAAATGTGTTCTGGCTGATTATACTGCTGGGGTTTAATGCTGTAGTCTGCTACTAAATGTGTTCTGGCTGATTATACTGCTGGGGTTGAATGCTGTAGTCTGCTACTAAATGTGTTCTGGCTGATTATACTGCTGGGGTTTAATGCTGTAGTCTGCTACTAAATGTGTTCTGGCTGATTATACTGCTGGGGTTTAATGCTGTAGTCTGCTACTAAATGTGTTCTGGCTGATTATACTGTTCTGGGGTTTAATGCTGTAGTCTGCTACTAAATGTGTTCTGGCTGATTATACTGCTGGGGTTTAATGCTGTAGTCTGCTACTAAATGTGTTCTGGCTGATTATACTGCTGGGGTTTAATGTTGTAGTCTGCTACTAAATGTGTTCTGGCTGATTATACTGCTGGGGTTTAATGCTGTAGTCTGCTACTAAATGTGTTCTGGCTGATTATACTGCTGGGGTTTAATGCTGTAGTCTGCTACTAAATGTGTTCTGGCTGATTATACTGCTGGGGTTTAATGCTGTAGTCTGCTACTAAATGTGTTCTGGCTGATTATACTGCTGGGGTTTAATGCTGTAGTCTGCTACTAAATGTGTTCTGGCTGATTATACTGCTGGGGTTTAATGCTGTAGTCTGCTACTAAATGTGTTCTGGCTGATTATACTGCTGGGGTTTAATGCTGTAGTCTGCTACTAAATGTGTTCTGGCTGATTATACTGCTGGGGTTTAATGCTGTAGTCTGCTACTAAATGTGTTCTGGCTGATTATACTGCTGGGGTTTAATGCTGTAGTCTGCTACTAAATGTGTTCTGGCTGATTATACTGCTGGGGTTTAATGCTGTAGTCTGCTACTAAATGTGTTCTGGCTGATTATACTGCTGGGGTTTAATGCTGTAGTCTGCTACTAAATGTGTTCTGGCTGATTATACTGCTGGGGTTTAATGCTGTAGTCTGCTACTAAATGTGTTCTGGCTGATTATACTGCTGGGGTTTAATGCTGTAGTCTGCTACTAAATGTGTTCTGGCTGATTATACTGCTGGGGTTTAATGCTGCAGTCTGCTATCTGGCTCTTTGGAATGTTTCCTAATCACCATGGAATGTTGGTAGGGGACTTTAGAATTCTGGAATGCTCTGTAATTGCACACTCATTTGCTTTACTACGCTGTGTGGTGAGGGCAGTGTTTGGCGAGGGCAGTGTGTGGCGAGGGCAGTGTGCGGCGAGGGCAGTGTGTGGCGAGGGCAGTGTGCGGCGAGGGCAGTGTGTGGAGAGGGCAGTGTGTGGCGAGGGCAGTGTGTGGCGAGGGAAGTGTGTGGCGAGGGCAGTGTTTGGCGAGGGCAGTGTGTGGCGAGGGCAGTGTTTGGCGAGGGCAGTGTGTGTGGCGAGGGCAGTGTGTGGAGAGGGCAGTGTTTGGCGAGGGCAGTGTGTGGCGAGGGCAGTGTTTGGCGAGGGCAGTGTGTGTGGCGAGGGCAGTGTGTGGAGAGGGCAGTGTGTGGCGAGGGCAGTGTGTGGCGAGGGCAGTGTTTGGCGAGGGCAGTGTGTGGCGAGGGCAGTGTTTGGCGAGGGCAGTGTGTGTGGCGAGGGCAGTGTGTGGAGAGGGCAGTGTGTGGAGAGGGCAGTGTGTGGTGAGGGCAGTGTTTGGCGAGGGCAGTGTGGTGGGCGAGGGCAGTGTGTGTGGCGAGGGCAGTGTGTGGCGAGGGCAGTGTGGTGGAGAGGGCAGTGTGGGGAGAGGGCAGTGTGTGGCGAGGGCAGTGTGTGGCGAGGGCAGTGTGTGGCGAGGGCAGTGTGTGGAGAGGGCAGTGTGTGGAGAGGGCAGTGTGTGGAGAGGGCAGTGTGTGGAGAGGGGCAGTGTGTGGCGAGGGCAGTGTGTGGAGAGGGCAGTGTGTGGAGAGGGCAGTGTGTGGCGAGGGCAATGTTTAGCGAGGGCAGTGTGTGTCGAGGGCAGTGTGTGGCGAGGGCAGTGTGTGGCGAGGGCAGTGTGTGTCGAGGGCAGTGTGTGGCGAGGGCAGTGTGTGTCGAGGGCAGTGTTTGGCGAGGGCAGTGTGTGGGCGAGGGCAGTGTTTAGCGAGGGCAGTGTGTGGCGAGGGCAGTGTGTGGCGAGGGCAGTGTGTGTGGCGAGGGCAGTGTGTGGCGAGGGCAGTGTGTGGAGAGGGCAGTGTGTGGAGAGGGCAGTGTGTGGCGAGGGCAGTGTGTGGCGAGGGCAGTGTGTGGCGAGGGCAGTGTGTGGAGAGGGCAGTGTGTGGAGAGGGCAGTGTTTGGCGAGGGCAGTGTGTGGCGAGGGCAGTGTGTGTGGCGAGGGCAGTGTGTGGAGAGGGCAGTGTGTGGAGAGGGCTTTGTGTGGCGAGGGCAGTGTGTGGCGAGGGCAGTGTTTAGCGAGGGCAGTGTGTGGCGAGGAAGTGTGTGGCGAGGGAAGTGTGTGTGGGCGAGGGCAGTGTGTGGCGAGGGCAGTGTGTGGCGAGGGCAGTGTGTGGCGAGGGCAGTGTTTGGCGAGGGCAGTGTGTGGAGAGGGCAGTGTGTGGCGAGGGCAGTGTGTGGCGAGGGCAGTGTGTGGCGAGGGCAGTGTGTGGAGAGGGCAGTGTGTGGCGAGGGCAGTGTGTGGAGAGGGCAGTGTGTGGAGAGGGCAGTGTGTGGCGAGGGCAGTGTGTGGCGAGGGCAGTGTGTGGAGAGGGAAGTGTGTGGAGAGGGCAGTGTGTGGCGAGGGCAGTGTGTGGCGAGGGCAGTGTTTGGCGAGGGCAGTGTTTGGCGAGGGCAGTGTGTGGCGAGGGCAGTGTGTGGCGAGGGCAGTGTGTGGCGAGGGCAGTGTGTGGAGAGGGCAGTGTGTGGCGAGGGCAGTGTGTGGAGAGGAAAGTGTTTGGAGAGGGCAGTGTGTGGCGAGGGCAGTGTGTGGAGAGGGCAGTGTGTGGAGAGGGCAGTGTGTGGAGAGGGCAGTGTGTGGAGAGGGCAGTGTGTGGAGAGGGCAGTGTGTGGAGAGGGCAGTGTGTGGAGAGGGCAGTGTGTGGCGAGGGAAGTGTTTGGCGAGGTCAGTGTGTGGAGAGGGCAGTGTGTGGCGAGGGCAGTGTGTGGCGAAGGCAGTGTGTGGTAATCAAATGTCTGCGTCCCAAATGGAACCCTGTTCACTACTTTTGATCAGTATATATCACTAGATTTGATATAGTGCACTACTTTCGACCAGGGCCCATAGTAGTACATGCATTATATAGGGAATAGGGTTCCGTTTTGGAAGCACCCATGTTAGTCAAAGACCAATGTTTTCCAGTGTGTGGCGAGGACAGTGTGTTGTAATAAAATACTGATTTATTTTCCAGTGTGTGGCGAGGGTAAGTTTGGGAGGACGTGTAAGGAGTGGTGTAGAGACGGATACTGCAGGTCCATGGTGTTCTGTCAGAGAGATCCATACGGCTGCTCCTGTGGTGCCGGCTGGAAAGGATTCAACTGTAGTGAAGGTGAAGGGGGGAGGGGCTATTCTCTGTACTGATATACACTGATATGTTCATGAAGTTCTATGAAAATGGACAATACAGTTAGCCTGGTGGTCCCAGATCTGTTTTTGCTGAGTTGACAAGACAGTCGACAGAATTATTGTATCGTATTGCATCATATCGTATTGGATCGCATCGTATTGTATCATATTGTATTGTATCGTATTGTATATTATTGTATCATATCATATGGTATGGTATTGAATTGTATTGTATTGTATTGTATCGTATCGTATTGTATTGTATCATATGATATCGTATTGTATCATATTGTATCGTATTGTATATTATTGTATCATATCTTATTGTATTGTATCATATTGTATCATATTGTATTGTAATGTATCGTATTGTATCGTATCGTATTGTATCATATAGTCACTAGCCCATTCAAGCTTAACATCCTTGTCATTTATCGCCCTCCAGGTTCCCTTGGAGAGTTCATCAATGAGCTTGACGCCTTGATAAGTTCCTTTCCTGAGGATGGCTCACCCCTCACAGTTCTGGGTGACTTTAACCTCCCTACGTCTGCTTTTGACTCATTTCTCTCTGCCTCCTTCTTTCCACTCCTTTCCTCTTTTGACCTCATCCTCACACCGTCCCCCCCTACTCACAAGGCAGGCAATACGCTTGACCTCATCTTTACTAGATGCTGTTCTTCTACTAATCTCACTGCAACTCCCCTCCATGTCTCTGACCACTACTTCGTATCCTTTTCTCTATCGCTCTCCTCCAACACTACTCACTCTGCCCCTACACAGATGGTAATGTGCCGTCGCAACCTTCGCTCTCTCTCTCCCGCTACTCTCTCCTCTTCCATCCTATCATCTCTTCCCTCTGCTAAATCCTTCTCCCTCCAATCTCCTGATTCTGCCTCCTCAACCCTCCTCTCCTCCCTCTCTGAATCTTTTGACTCTCTATGTCCCCTATCCTCCCGGCCGGCTCGGTCCTCCCCTCCTGCTCCGTGGCTTGACGATTCATTGCGAGCTCACAGAACAGGGCTCCGGACAGCCGAGCGGAAATGGAAGAAAACTAGACTCCCTGCGGACCTGGCATCTTTTCACTCCCTCCTCTCTACATTTTCTTCCTCTGTTTCCGCTGCTAAAGCCACTTTTTACCACTCTAAATGTCATGCCTCTGCCTCTAACCCTAGGAAGCTCTTTGCCACCTTCTCCTCCCTGCTGAATCCTCCTCCTCCCCCTCCCTCCTCCCTCTCTGTGGATGACTTCGTCAACCATTTTGAAAATAAGGTTGACGACATCCGATCCTCATTTATTAAGTCAAATGACACCGCTGGTCCTGCTCACACTGCCCTACCCTATGCTTTGACTTCTTTCTCCCCTCTCTCTCCAGATGAAATCTTGCGAATTGTGACGGCCGGCCGCCCAACAACCTGCCCGCTTGACCCTATCCCCTCCTCTCTTCTCCAGACCATTTCCGGAGACCTTCTCCCTAACCTCACCTCGCTCATCAATTCATCCTTGTCCGTTGGCTATGTCCCTTCCATCTTCAAGAAAGCGAGAGTTGCACCCCTCCTCAAAAAACCTACACTCGATCCCTCCGATGTCAACAACTACAGACCAGTATCCCTTCTTTCTTTTCTCTCCAAAACTCTTGAGCGTGCCGTCTATAGCCAACTCTCCTGCTATCTCTCTCAGAATGACCTTCTTGATCCAAACCAGTCAGGTTTCAAGACTGGTCATTCAACTGAGACTGCTCTTCTCTGTGTCACGGAGGCTCTCCGCACTGCAAAAGCTAACTCTCTCTCCTCTGCTCTCATCCTTCTAGACCTGTCTGCTGCCTTTGATACTGTGAACCATCAGATCCTCCTCTCCACCCTCTCCACCCTCTCCAAGTTGGGCATCTCCGGCGCGGCTCACTCTTGGATTGCGTCCTACCTGACAGGTCGCTCCTACCAGGTGGCGTGCTCTCACCACTGGTGTCCCCCAGGGCTCAGTTCTAGGCCCTCTCCTATTCTCTATATACACCAAGTCACTTGGCTCTGTCATATCCTCACATGGTCTCTCCTATCATTGCTACGCAGACGACACACAATTCATCTTCTCCTTTCCCCCTTCTGATAACCAGGTGGCGAATCGCATCTCTGCATGTCTGGCAGACATATCAGTGTGGATGTCGGATCACCACCTCAAGCTGAACCTCGGCAAGACTGAGCTGCTCTTCCTCCCGGGGAAGGACTGCCCGCTCCATGATCTTGCCATCACAGTTGACAACTCCGTTGTGTCCTCCTCCCAGAGTGCAATGAACCTTGGCGTGACCCTGGACAACACCCTGTCGTTCTCCGCTAACATCAAAGCGGTGACCCGATCCTGTAGGTTCATGCTCTACAGCATTCGCAGAGTACGACCCTACCTTACACAGGAAGCGGCACAGGTCCTAATCCAGGCACTTGTCATCTCCCGTCTGGATTACTGCAACTCGCTGTTGGCTGGGCTCCCTGCCTGTGCCATTAAACCCCTACAACTCATCCAGAACGCTGCAGCCCGTCTGGTGTTCAACCTTCCCAAGTTCTCTCACGTCACCCCGCTCCTCCGCACACTCCACTGGCTTCCAGTTGAAGCTCGCATCTGCTACAAGACCATGGTGCTTGCCTACGGAGCTGTGAGGGGAACGGCACCTCCTTACCTTCAGGCTCTGATCAGTCCCTACACCCAAACGAGGGCATTGTGTTCTTCCACCTCTGGCCTGCTGGTCCCCCTACCTCTGAGGAAGCACAGTTCCCGCTCAGCCCAGTCAAAACTATTCGCTGCTCTGGCACCCCAATGGTGGAACAAGCACCCTCACGACACCAGGACAGCGGAGTCACTCACCACCTTCCGGAGACACTTGAAACCCTACCTCTGTAAGGAATACCTGGGATAGTATAAAAGTAATCCTTCTACCCCCCCCCCCCCCCCCCCCCTACCCCACCCCCACAAAAAATATAAATAATAATAATAACAATAATAATAATAAGAAAAATATATATAATTATAATAAAAAAATATATATATAAAAAATACAAAAATAAAAATATATATTTACAAAATATATATAAAAAAAAATAGATATATATTTATAGAAAACAAATGAAAATTAAAAATATACTCAAAAATAAAAAAATTGTACTGTATTGTATTGTATTGTATCGTATTGTATTGTATTGTATTGTATTGTATTGTATTGTATTGTATTGTATTGTATTGTATCGTATTGTATTGTATCGTATTGTATCGTATTGTATTGTATTGTATCGTATTGTATCGTATCGTATCGTATTGTATTGTATTGTATCGTATTGTGTCGTATTGTATTGTATTGTATCGTATTGTATTGTATCGTATTGTATCGTATTGTATTGCATCGTATTGTATTGTATTGTATCGTATTGTATTGTATTGTATCGTATTGTATCGTATTGTATTGTATCGTATTGTATTGTATTGTATCGTATTGTATTGTATTGTATCGTATTGTATCGTATTGTATTGTATCGTATTGTATTGTATTGTATTGTATTGTATTGTATCGTATTGTATTGTATCGTATTGTATCGTATTGTATTGATTCCCATTGTTACAGCCTCTCCTGCCAGTGATATATGAGACAGGATGCACACGGCCACATTCAGATAGAGTGGCATCGTTTACGTCGTTACCTAGCAACGCACTACCACTCCAATTATAACAACTACTAGTCTTAGCACCTCGTCATGGATGATTTTAAAGTCACTTTTGATTTGTTTCATCCACTAAGATGGGAAAATTCTCCAGAGTTTCTACGCCACCGCAAGGACTGCTAAAGGAGACCGATATGGAATCAGCAGCTCCGCTGGACTGCGGGCCAGTCTAAACGGAGACCGATATGGAATCAGCAGCTCCGCTGGACTGCGGGCCGGTCTAAACGGAGACCGATATGGAATCAGCAGCTCCGCTGGACTGCGGGCCGGTCTAAACGGAGACCGATATGGAATCAGCAGCTCCGCTGGACTGCGGGCCGGTCTAAACGGAGACCGATATGGAATCAGCAGCTCCGCTGGACTGCGGGCCGGTCTAAACGGAGACCGATATGGAATCAGCAGCTTCGCGGGTCTTAAATGAGCCCACTGAGCCGGTCTTGGTGCCTGATGAGAGATATTGAGTTCCTGAACTCAGACAATGTGTTTGCTGGTATCATAATACAGCTGAGAAGGGAGCGCAGGGACGGGAAAAACATGAGGAGATGGAGTAACATCCTAACAGCTGGGTGCGACAACAGTTGTTCCTGAGAAACGGCACCCAGCTGCGCTTGGGACCCCGGGATTGAATGTATCATAAATAAATAGCTGTAGCTTTGTTTTGGTTCTGTCCATTTGTAGCTTGTTTTTGGACACAGGTCCAGGAATGGCTAAAGGATTGCAATATTTACCTGGAACTAACCTTGCAGATAGCATTACTGGGTGATCTGAAAAGTCATAGTCAATCAATCAATAATATAATAATACTTTTAGCAAAAATGTTTATTTTTAATTCACAATCTGTAGAAGCAATGAGAATAGAAAGGTTCAGAACTTTTGTAAAACATCACAGTATGGTTGAAATATATATGGCAAATAGAAATCCTATATGGATGGTGTTAAGAGATAGATGGGAGGTATTGAATAGAGTTGAAGGATGGGACTAATAACAAATAACAACAAATAATAACAAAGATAGCTAATAATGTAAGCATACTGTGTCCATAATAAGTATATAGGTTGTATGTTGGGAGCTTTTGGGAAGGAGCACAGTTAGAAAGATATGGCATTTAGAGGCAAACCGGATGGACATCATGAAGATGATCGGAGAGGTTGAGAGTAGAAGAAGTTCAGGAGAAAATAAATAAATAGATGTGTATATGTATATGTATGTATATATGTGTATATATATGTATATATATATATATATATATATATGTATATGTGTGTGTATGTGTATGTATATATATATATATATATATATAGATATAGAATTATTGTAAAATTAACTCTGTCCATAAGGTGTAGATAGTGAGTATGGACCGGAAGTAGAGGCCTGGGCGTTGTTGTTCACTAATTTACTCCAAGTAGGGAAAGGATGGTGGGGTTGAAAAGTAATAAAGGGGAATATATATATATAAAAAAAAAAAAAAATATGGGGGATTGGAAGTGATGCAGACAATTACATTGATAGAATATACAATCTATCTGCAATATTAAGCTGATCCTTCCCCCCGAAAAAAAAAAAAAAAAAAAAAAAAAAAGAATAAAATAAAAAAAAATAGCTGTCGATGCTGTGACCATCTGGCAAAATGTGTCATTGTGGTTTCTGATCTGCTGTATCAATGTCTTTGCTACAATGTTTCAGCACAATGTCATGTTTTCCATCTGTCATTCAATGTTCCTATGCATAGACGTGCGCTGTGTTCAGAACCATGGACCAGCGTCTCTAGAAACCAAGGTTCTGGAACTATCAACCATCGCTTGTGTAGTTTTGCTTCACATGGCAGTCAATGTGACTAGACGTAACGACCAGAGAGCACCTAACATGTCACCAGTGTTAGTGAATGTAGCATCACGTTTTGTTTGAAAAACTGATGGTTTGGGAAAGAATATAGCTTTTTAATGCTGGTAACCCGTTGTATGAAAGCAATAATACACTGGAGTCCATGTGTCATGACATTTGTATCATGGCTGTGGTGGTCTGCTTGGCTTCACCTCGTGGCCATGACCAAGTCACAGCCATGTAACACATGCCATAACACATGGCCTCTCATGTATTATTGCTTAAGTATCGTATCGTATAGTATTTTATCCTATTGTATCATATTGTAAAGTATCGTATTGTATCGTATTGTATTGTATCGTATCGTATTGTATTGTATTGTATCGTATTGTATTGTATTGTATCGTATTGTATCGTATTGTATTGTATCGTATTGTATTGTATTGTATTGTATTGTATCGTATTGTATTGTATCGTATTGTATCGTATTGTATTGATTCCCATTGTTACAGCCTCTCCTGCCAGTGATATATGAGACAGGATGCACACGGCCACGTTCAGATAGAGTGGCATCGTTTACGTCGTTACCTAGCAACGCACTACCACTCCAATTATAACAACTACTAGTCTTAGCACCTCGTCATGGATGATTTTAAAGTCACTTTTGATTTGTTTCATCCACTAAGATGGGAAAATTCTCCAGAGTTTCTACGCCACCGCAAGGACTGCTAAAGGAGACCGATATGGAATCAGCAGCTCCGCTGGACTGCGGGCCAGTCTAAACGGAGACCGATATGGAATCAGCAGCTCCGCTGGACTGCGGGCCAGTCTAAACGGAGACCGATATGGAATCAGCAGCTTCGCTGGACTGCGGGCCGGTCTAAACAGAGACCGATATGGAATCAGCAGCTTCGCTGGACTGCGGGCCGGTCTAAACGGAGACCGATATGGAATCAGCAGCTTCGCTGGACTGCGGGCCGGTCTAAACGGAGACCGATATGGAATCAGCAGCTTAGCTGGACTGCGGGCCGGTCTAAACGGAGACCGATATGGAATCAGCAGCTCCGCTGGACTGCGGGCCGGTCTAAACGGAGACCGATATGGAATCAGCAGCTCCGCTGGACTGCGGGCGGGTCTAAACGGAGACCGATATGGAATCAGCAGCTCCGCTGGACTGCGGGCCGGTCTAAACGGAGACCGATATGGAATCAGCAGCTCCGCTGGACTGCGGGCCGGTCTAAACGGAGACCGATATGGAATCAGCAGCTCCGCTGGACTGCGGGCCGGTCTAAACGGAGACCGATATGGAATCAGCAGCTCCGCTGGACTGCGGGCCGGTCTAAACGGAGACCGATATGGAATCAGCAGCTTCGCGGGTCTAAACCGCCACTTAAATGAGCCCACTGAGCCGGTCTTGGTGCCTGATGAGAGATATTGAGTTCCTGAACTCAGACAATGTGTTTGCTGATATCATAATACAGCTGAGAAGGGAGCGCAGGGACGGGAAAAACATGAGGAGATGGAGTAACATCCTAACAGCTGGGTGCGACAACAGTTGTTCCTGAGAAACGGCACCCAGCTGCGCTTGGGACCCCGGGATTGAATGTATCATAAATAAATAGCTGTCGATGCTGTGACCATCTGGCAAAATGTGTCATTGTGGTTTCTGATCTGCTGTATCAATGTCTTTGCTACAATGTTTCAGCTCAATGTCATGTTTTCCATCTGTCATTCAATGTTCCTATGCATAGACGTGCGCTGTGTTCAGAACCATGGACCAGCGTCTCTAGAAACCAAGGTTCTGGAACCATCAACCATCGCTTGTGTAGTTTTGCTTTACATGGCAGTCAATGTGACTAGACCTAATGACCAGAGAGCACCTAACATGTCACCAGTGTTAGTGAATGTAGCATCACGTTTTGTTTGAAAAACTGATGGTTTGGGAAAGAATATAGCTTTTTAATGCTGGTAACCCGTTGTATAAAAGCAATAATACACTGGAGTCCATGTGTTATGGCATTTGTATCATGGCTGTGGTGGTCTGCTTGGCTTCACCTCGTTGCCATGACCAAGTCACAGCCATGTAACACATGCCATAACACATGGCCTCTCATGGATTATTGCTTAAGTATCGTATCGTATTGTATCCTATCGTATCGTATTGTATCCTATTGTATTGTATTGTATCCTATTGTATTGTATCCTATTGTATTGTATCCTATTGTATTGTATCCTATTGTATTGTATCCTATTGTATTGTATCCTATTGTATTGTATCCTATTGTATTGTATCCTATTGTATTGTATCCTATTGTATTGTATCCTATTGTATTGTATCCTATTGTATTGTATCCTATTGTATTGTATCCTATTGTATTGTATCCTATTGTATTGTATGCTATTGTATTTTATCCTATTGTATTGTATCCTATTGTATTGTATCCTATTGTATTGTATGCTATTGTATTTTATCATATTGTATTGTATCCTATTGTATTTTATCCTATTGTATTGTATCCTATTGTATTTTATCCTATTGTATCATAATGTAAAGTATCGTATTGTATCCTATTGTATTGTATCCTATTGTATTGTATTGTATCCTATTGTATTGAATCCTATTGTATCCTATTGTATTGTATCCTATTGTAAACAGATTCCCTTCGGGGCAATAAAGGTTTTCAATCAATCAATTCTAATTGTATCATATTGTATCGTATTGTATTGTATCGTATTGTATTGTATTGTATTGTATCGTATCATATTGTACTGTATGGCATCTGATTGGTCAATGGCTGGACCATCAGTTAAAGTTGTATTGTCTTCTCCCTGTGTCTCCAGCGTGTCCTCCAGGGTTCTATGGAGCTGGCTGCAAACTGAAGTGTGAGTGTGGGGACAAGGGAAAGTGTGACCGCTTCCGTGGCTGTGTGTGTGAGGGACGACACGGTGCTCACTGTGAAAGAGAAGGTAAAAGGTTTTAAAACATTGTAACTTTAGCTCTATAAACTCTCCCACTATCCTTAAAGGTGATTGATTTGATTGATGGATTGAATGAATGAATGAATGAATGAATGAATGATTGATTGTTGTTGTTGTTGCTGATGATGATGACGATGATGATCTTGTTGATGATGATGTTGCCTATAGACAGGGCGCCTGTTGTGGTCAGTAACCTGATCGATACAGAGTTGAACGCTGGGATTCACCACCTCGTCAACTGTAGCGCCACGGGCCAACCAGCACCATTACATGGAGAGATCATCCTACTCAAACCAGACAAAACCAGAATATATGTAAGTGGTAGCCTGGTCCCAGATCTGTTTGTGCTGTCTTGCCAACTCCTACGGTCATTGTCACACCCAGGCTATGTAAGTGGAACACAAATTATTTAATTTTTTTGTATAGATGTGTATCCTTAAGTAGATGGAAGTTAATTTGATGATGAGCATACACACTCACAATCACCATTATTAGCAATCACTGCATTAGCCATTTCTTCTAATCAAATGCTTGATTTATATTTTCCTAGGCTTTTGACACTGATACGGTGGATGACCAGACCACGTCTACGTTCAGGGTGGATAAGATCACTGAGCGAGATGCTGGTCGTTGGATCTGCCAGGTGAAAACTACAGCAGGGCAGGCAGAGAGAGAGTTCATGGTCATCGTCCAAGGTAAGAGTCAAAATCACTGAAATTTAGTCCCGTTTCCCAGACCCAGATTATACCTAGTCTTAGACTAAAGTACTTTCAATGGATAATCTCCATTGAGAATGATTGATCTGGGTCTGGGAAACCAGCGCTGGTTAGTACCTTCTCCATAGCTATTCTGTGGATGTGGATCAGTTGCTTTCTCTCTTCAGTCCCTCCAAAGCCCCAGAACCCTCCCGTGTTGAACGGTAGTGGTCCGCATCACCTGGTTGTGTTGGTCAATAAGGAGCCGTACACAGGAGACGGACCGGTGACCTCTGTCAAGGTCATCTACAAGCAGGTCAATACCTCTGTATGGAAGACCGTTGAAGGTACTGTCCACCCACAGACATGAACTCTTACCTGCACTGTCCACCCACAGACATGAACTCTTACCTGCACTGTCCACCCACAGACATTAACTCTTACCTGCACTGTCCACCCACAGACATGAACTCTTACCTGCACTGTACACTCTTACCTGCTCGATGAAAGAACCATCCAATGCATAAGTCATCTGAAATATTTCTACTAGAATTGGAAAACAGCATACATTTCGTTTTTTCCACATTAAGTACCAATTGTTATTATAAAAATAAATAATTGTTGTTGACATTTTTACCCTACTTTTTCTCACCAACTTCGTGATTACGATCTTGTCTCATCGCTGCAAGTCCCCAACGGGCTCGGGAGAGGGAAGGTCGAGTCATGCGTCCTCCGAAACATGACCCGCCAAGCCGAGCTTCTTAACACCCGCTCGTTTAACCCGGAAGCCAGCCGCACCAATGTGTCGGAGGAAACACCGTTCAACTGTCGAACGAAGTCAGCCTGCAGGCGCCCGGCCCGCCACAAGGAGTCGCTAGAGCGTGATGAGCCAAGTAAAGCCCCACCCGGCCAAACCCTCCCTAACCCGGACGACGCTGGGCCAATTGTGCGCCGCCCTATGGGACTCCCAGTCACGGCCGGTTGTGGCACAGCCTGGGATCGAACCTCAGGCTGTAGTGACGCCACAACACTGCGATGCAGTGCCTTAGAACGCTGCGCCATTCAGGAGGCCTCAGAGTAGCCTTTTTGATCATAATGAATACGATTATATGGGCAGGGGGGACCTGAAGCACTCCAACTTTAAAGCACCCCTCTTGAATATGGTCCCTGGTCTCAAAGGGAGTATAATGATGTGCTAAATGATATCACATTCCTGTGAGCTTCAGTAAATGTTTCCTGAAACTTCATCCCACTAGTTGTTATCATGACTGTACTGAACAATTAGAATGATATCATCTCCCTGAGGGATGTTATTGTGTGTTGGAAACTAACATACTGCTTCCAGAAGGTCCTCTTCCACTTATGTGTTCTTCCAAGTATTACTTTCTTTGTACGTGTAGAAACCTTTGTCAACATCATCATATGGAGTCATTGATGCACGTGAGTGATGAGCCCCCTCCCTCCCTCCCTCCCCCCCCTCCCTCCAACCCTCCATCTCTCCCTCCCTCCCTCCCTCCCTCCCTCCCTCCCTCCCTCCCTCCCTCCCTCCCTCCCTCCCTCCCTCCCTGCCTCCCTCCCTCCCTCCATCTCCCTCTCAGTGGTTGGCCTGGTGGTGAAGCTAGAGAACCTGTCTCCTATGACCCAGTACACCACCTTTGTCCAGCTGAGTCGCCATGGCGCAGGAGGGGCGGGGTTTCCCGGGCCAGAGGCCAGCTTCTCCACACAGATGCTTGGTGAGAACTATAGAAGAACCAGAAGAACTATAGAATTAGAATGGATTGGTAAAAAACATATCATTAAAATGAACTAACACTGTAGTTCTGTGGTAAGTACCACCCTAGTAACCACCCTAGTAACCACCCTAGTAACCACCCTAGTAACCCACCTCAGTAACCCACCTCAGTAACCCAGATGCTGGGTAAGAACCATCCCATTCTCTTTAAAATCCAACCTCAGGTAAGGGAATTTCCTCTGATCTGGACATTACTAATGACACATGGAGGCCTTACAGAAACCTGATTTACTGCTAGCCTCTGAGTTACAGTGCATTTGGAAAGTATTCAGACCCCTTGACTTTTTCCAGATTTTGTTACGTTTACAGCCTTATTCTAAAATGGATTAAATAAAACTATTTCCTCATCAATCTACACACAATACCCCATAATGACAAAAGGTTTGTAGAATTTTTTTCAAATGTATTAAAAATAAAAAACAGAAATGCCTAATTCACATAACTATTCAGACACTTTGCTATGAGACTCGAAAATTGAGCTCAGGTGCGTCCTGTTTCCATTGATGATCCTTGAGATGTTTCTACAACTTGATTGGAGTACACCTGTGGTAAATTAAATTGATTGGACATGATTTGGAAAGGAACACACCTCTCTATACAAGGTTCCAAAGTTGACAGTACATGTCAGAGCAAAAACCAAGCCATGAGGTCAAAGGAATTGTCCGTGGAGCTCCGAGACAGGATTGTGTCGAGGCACAGATCTGGGAAGGGTACCAAAACATTTCTGCAGCATTGAACGTCCCCAAGAACACAGTGGCCTCCATCTGTTTGGAACCACCAAGACTCTTCCTAGAGCTGGCCGCCCGGACAAACTGAGCAATCGGGGGAGAAGGGCCTTGGTCAGGGAGGTGACCAAGAACCCGATGGTCACTCAGACAGAGCTCCGGAGTTCCTCTGTGGAGATGGGAGAACCTTCCAGAAGGACAACCATCTCTGCAGCACTCCACCAATCAGGCCTTTATGGTAGAGTGGCCAGACGGAAGCCACTCCTCAGTAAAAGGCACATGACAGCCCGCTTGGAGTTTGCCAAGAGGCACCTAAAGGACTCTCAGACCATGAGAAACAAGATTCTCTGGTCTGATGAAACCAAGATTGAACTCTTTGGCCTGAATGCCAAGTGTCACGTCTGGAGGAGACCTGGAACCATCCCTACGGTGATGCATGGTGGTGGCAGCATCATGCTGTGGGGATGTTTTTCAGCGGCAGGGACTGGGAGACTAGTCAGGATAGAGGGAAAGATGAACGGAGCAAAGTACAGAGAGATCCTTGATGAAAACCTGCTCCAGAGCGCTCAGGACCTCAGACTGGGGTGAAGGTTCACCTTCCAACAGGACAACGACCCTAAGCACGCAGCCAAGACAACGCAGGAGTGGCTTCGGGACAAGTCTCTGAATGTCCTTGAGTGGCCCAGCCAGAGCCCGGACTTGAACCCGATCGAACATCTCTGGAGAGACCTGAAAATAGCTGTGCAGCGACGCTCCCCATCCAACCTGACAGAGCTTGAGAGGATCTGCAGAGAAGAATGTGAGAAACTCCCCAAATACAGGTGTGCCAAGCTTGTAGCGTCATACCCAAGAAGATTTGAGGCTGTAATCGCTGCCAAAGGCGCTTCAACAAAGTATTCAGTAAAGGGTCTGAATACTTATGTAAATGTGATTTCTGTTTTAATTTTTTTATACATTTGCAAAAAATAAAATCTGTTTTTGCTTTGTCATTATGGGGTATTGTGTGTAGATTTAAGAAGAAAAACATATTTTTAATCCCTTTTAGAATAAGGCTGTAACGTAACAAAATGTGGAAAAAGTCAAGGGGTCTGAATACTTTCCGAATAGCTAACCCCAGACAAGAATAGGCCCAAGGCATTTCACTACTAAATCAGCTGACCTATGGCAGGATCCCAGTCTCTCCCTGACCTCAATACTCTTTCTCTCCTTCTCCCTTACTCCCTCTCTCCCCTAACCCTCCCGCTCATCCAGATCACCCACTCCCCTCTGGGGTGAGGCTTGTCCCTGTATCCCAGACATCCCTGGGCCTGTCCTGGGACCGTGTCGTTGGGCCTGGGTCTCCCAAGGAAGACTGGACCTTCCAGGTAAGCGGCCCTCTGTGTCTGAGTTGTTTAGAGCATAGCTCTAGAAACACCAGGGTTGTGGGATCTATTCCTGGCTAGGGTCACATACAACAACAATTCTGTCACTCATTGTGTACTGTAAGTTCCTTTGGGAAAAAGTAGTACTAACTTACTAAGTAGCTTTGTCCGATCCAGAACGGCCCATAGGGCAGGAGACTATCTCCTGTTTCTGCAGAGTGATCCAGAACGGCCCATAGGGCAGGAGTCTATCTCCTGTTTCTGTAGAGTGATCCAGAACGGCCCATAGGGCAGGAGTTGATCTCCTGTTTCTGTAGAGTGATCCAGAACGGCCCATAGGGCAGGAGTCTATCTCCTGTTTCTGTAGAGTGATCCAGAACGGCCCATAGGGCAGGAGTCTATCTCCTGTTTCTGTAGCGTGATCCAGAACGGCCCATAGGGCAGGAGTCTATCTCCTGTTTCTGTAGAGTGATCCAGAACGGCCCATAGGGCAGGAGTTGATCTCCTGTTTCTGTAGAGTGATCCAGAACGGCCCATAGGGCAGGAGTCTATCTCCTGTTTCTGTAGAGTGATCCAGAACGGCCCATAGGGCAGGAGACTATCTCCTGTTTCTGTAGAGTGATCCAGAACGGCCCATAGGGCAGGAGTCTATCTCCTGTTTCTGTAGAGTGATCCAGAATGGCCCATAGGGCAGGAGTCTATCTCCTGTTTCTGTAGAGTGATCCAGAACGGCCCATAGGGCAGGAGTCTATCTCCTGTTTCTGTAGCGTGAAGCAGATTGATGTACTAGTACAAATATGATTTATTATTACCTTCTCAGGTGGAGTGTGTTCAGAGATCTGACCCTGGGAACGTGAAGATCTACCAGCTCCCTTCCAACTTGACGGGCATCCAGGTGACAGGTGAGGAGGACTGAACAGATATACTGTACGCTAATATTGTCATGAATTTACTGTACTGATTTAGTGTACGCCGGGTTCCCCCATGTCTTCCGAGCAAAAAATTATAATAAATACATTTATTTTTTATTTTATATAGTTGGACATAAGACTGTAAAAACACAAGGAAATCAGCTCCAATTATTTTAATTTAAGAAATCTGTTCCCAAGTTTTCCCACGTATAGTAGAGACGTGATCGTATACAAATGTAAGCAAGGTTTGAAATTATTATGTTTTTGTCAAAGATTATATCTGTTTGGGCTTCTTGCGGTCAATTTGCAGTCTACAAATTATTTGTAATTATGTTCCAGCCCCCAGACCATCTGCTCAACAACAAATCGGCCCGCGGCTGAATCTAGTTGATGATCCCTGGAGTACGCTAATATTGTCATGAATGTACTGCACTGACATAGTGTACACTAATATTATCATGAATTTCCATGGAAATCAAAGTATTGTATTGTGTTGTATTGTATCGCATTGTATCTGGTTGGTCACTGGCTAATCTCGGTAAACCCAGAACAAAAATCTCATGTAATTTGGTCAGATTTAAGTAGTTTAACCACAAGACATTACTCACCGGCTGGAGTACAATTTAGAATAATGGTGATTGCCTAGCTTATTGCTGGACTGTACAGTGATTTGGTAGGCATCATGTTTTTAGGACAGTAATGTAATGGGTTTGTTGTTTTCTGCCAGAGCTGAAGCCCAGACACAAGTATGAGTGCAGGGTGAGGATGATGACGGTGTCGGTGGGACAGCACAGCCAACCTGTCTCTGCATGGACACTAAGCAACGGTAAGACCTGGGAGGGCAGTAGCTGGGGAACACTTAACTCTGTTCTCTTACACTGTATATACAGCAGTATGTGGACACCCCTTCAAATTAGTGGATTCTATTTCAGCCACACACGTTGCTGACAGGTGTATAAAATCGAGCGCACAGTCATGCAATCTCCATAGACAAACATTGGCAGTAGAAGGGCCTTATTGAAGAGCTCAGTGACTTCCAACGTGGCACCGTCATAGGATGCCACCTTTCCAACAAGTCAGTTCGTCAAATGTCTGCCCTGCTAGAGCTGCCCCGGTCAACTGTAAGTGCTGTTATTGTGAAGTGGAAACGTCTAGGAGCAACAACGGCTCAGCCACGAAGTGGTAGGCCACACAAGCTCACAGAACGGGACCGCTGAGTGCTGAAGCAACGTCAGCAAAAGAACTGTTCGTCGGGAGCTTCATGAAATGGGTTTCCATGGCCGAGCAGCCGCACACAAGCCTAAGATCACCATACGCAATGCCAAGCGTCAGCTGGAGTGGTGTAAAGCTCGCCGCCATTGGACTCTGGAGCAGTGGAAACGCGTTCTCTGGACTGATGAATCACGCTTCACCATCTGGAAGTCCAATGGACGAATCTGGGTTTGGCGGATACCAGGAGAACGCTACCTGCCCGAATGCATAGTGCCAACTGTAAAGTTTGGTGGAGGAGGACTAATGGTCTGGGGCTGTTTTTTATCGTTTGGGCTAGGCCCCTTAGTTCCAGTGAAGGGAAATCTTAACACTACAGCATACAATGACAAGTTCCCGCAGCAATGTTCAAACATCTAGTGGAAAGCCTTCCCAGAAGAGTGGAGGCTGTTTTAGCAGCAAAGGGGGGACCAACTCCATATTAATGGCCATGATGTTCGACGAGCAGGTGTCCACGTACTTTTGGTAATGTAGTGTATATCGAGGTGGAGTTGAGTTTTTATAACTGGTCTCACGATTTGCAAGCAACAACATTGAGTTACCATCAGTCGATATTTGTAAAAATTCTGAAAACGCTTACCAGTACCTGTGTTTGTGCTGTACAACAGCGCTCCTTCTGCGCGGTGCTGAAATGTATACTTTTAATATAAACCTTTATTGAAAACAACCACCGACTTTTTCCTCATTTGTGTTGCTCGTACTAGGTACTACGTAAACTGAGATTCAATTGGCACATGCACATTATGCGATGAGTTGAGCAACACAAATGAGGAAAAAGTCGCTGGTTGTATAGATATAATCTCTGGTGTCTATACTATACTATATCCTCTCTGCGATGAGTTGAGCTTACTATACACTTAAATAGGAAATATAAGTCTATATCCCTCTGGTGTCTAGATATCTCTGGTGTCTTCTAACTATACTATATCCTCTCTGGTGCTTAACTATACTCTCTGGTGTCTTACTATACTAACCTCTGGTGATCCTCAAACTGGAACCGCTTGGTGCTAACAACTATCCTCATAAACTGGTTCTTACTTAATATTTCCTCTTGGTTTCATGGCTAAGCAATTCCGCACACAACCTAAATTCACCTCGGCATGCCAAGCGTCTCTGGATGTGTAAACTTCTACCCTCGTTGGACTCTACATTGAAACGCGTTCTGGGGGAACTGATGAATCTCCGGTTCAACATATCCTCTTGGGTCTATACTATGACTAATCCTGGTTTGGCTGATACCATGATACCTCTCGGTGTCCGAATCCTTCTGGCAACTATAAGTTTTGGTGGGGGACTATACTCCTCTTGGGGTCTTTTTTATCCTTTGGGCTAGCTATTTCCTGGTAGTGAAACCCTTAATCCTCTCGGTAGCATACTATACTCGGGTGTCCCCAGCAATGGTTCAACATCTATAATCCTTCTGGTCTAAAATACTGTTCTCTCAAGGTGTCCATACTATATATGCGCCTCCTGTTCTACGATCAGTTCCACTCTTTGGTTATGTAGTGTATATCGATCGGGGTTTGGTTTTATACTATATCTCGGGTCTCTAACGATATAATCACCATTGGTTCCATAGTACATACTTTAAAAATTCTGGAAACTTACCATACCTGCTTTTTGTCTATACATACATATCCTCTCTGGTGTGCTATAAATGTATCCTCTTTTATAAACCCTTTATTGTAACAACCACCACTCTTTGTCTACTATTTTTTGTGTCTACTAGTACTACTTAAACTTGGTTCAATTCACATCACTTGGTGTCTATACTACCCAACCACAATTGGGAAAATCCCTCTGGTTGTATATATATTAATCCTTTTGGTGTCTATACTATACTATATCCTCTCTGGTGTCTTACTATACTGTGATCCTCTCTGGTGTCTATACTATACTATATCCTCTCTGGTGACTATACATATATATCCTCTCTGGTGTCTATACTATACTATATCCTCTCTGGTGTCTACATACTATATCCTCTCTGGTGTCTATACTATAGTCTCTGGTGTCTATACTATTACTATCTGGTGTCTATACTATACATATCCTCTCTGGTGTCTATACTATCCTATGCCTCTCTAGTGTCTATACTATACTATATCCTCTCTGGTGTCTTACTATACTATCCTCTCTGGTGTCTATACTATACTATATCGCTCTCTCTGGTGTCTATACTATACTATATCCTCTCTGGTGTCTATACTATACTATTCCTCTCTGTGTCTATTAACTATATCCTCTCTGGTGTCTATACTATACAAATCCTCTCTGGTGTCTATACTATACTAAAATCCTCTCTGGTGTCTATACTATACTATATCCTCTCTGGTGTCTATACTTAATTTTCCTCTCTGGTGTCTATACTAATATCCTCTCTGGTGTCTATACTATCCTATATCCTCTCTGGTGTCTATACTATATCCTCTCTGGTGTCTATACTATACTATCTCCTCTCTGGTGTCTATACTATCCTCTCTGGTGTCTATACTATACTATATCCTCTCTGGTGTCTATACTATATCCTCTCTGGTGTCTATATTATCCTATATCCTCTCTGGTGTCTATACTATATCCTCTCTGGTGTCTATACTATCCTCTCTGGTGTCTATACTATACTATATCCTCTCTGGTGTCTATACTATAATCCTCTCTGGTTGCTATACTATCTATCTCCTCTCTGGTGTCTATATTTATATCCTCTCTGGTGTCTATACTATATCCTCTCTGGTGTCTATACTATCCTCTCTGGTGTCTATACTATACTATATCCTCTCTGGTGTCTATACTATACTATCTCCTCTCTGGTGTCTATACTATACTATCTCCTCTCTGGTGTCTATACTATACTATCTCCTCTCTGGTGTCTATACTATACTATATCCTCTCTGGTGTCTATACTATACTATATCCTCTCTGGTGTCTATACTATACTATATCCTCTCTGGTGTCTATACTATACTATCTCCTCTCTGGTGTCTAGAACTATACTATATCCTCTCTGGTGTCCTATTACGATACTATATTCCGCGCTGGTGTCCTATACTATACTAATCTCCCTCTGTTGTCTATACTAGAGTACTATATCCTCTCTGGTGTCTATACTATACCTTCCTCTCTGGTGTCTATACTATACTATATCCTCTCTGGTGTCGATACTATACTATATCCTTCTTGGTGGTCCTATACTACTACTATATATCCTCTCTGGTGTCTATACGATACGATCTCCAGTACTCTGGTGTCTTAACTAACCTCTCTGGTGTCTATACTAGACTCTATCCCTCTCTGGGGTCTATACTATACTATCTCCTCTCTGGTGTCTATAACTATACTAAATCCGCCTCTGGTGTCTATACTATCCTATATCTCTCTGGTGTCGATACTATATCCTCTCTGGTGTCCTATACTATACTCTATCCCTCTCTGGTGTCTATACTATACTATATTCCGTCATCTGGTGTCTATACTATACTCTCTGGTGTCTATACTATACTATACTCGCTGGTGTCTATACTATACTATATCTTCTCTGGTGACTATACTATATCCTCTCTGGTGTCTATACTATACTATATCCTCTCTGGTGTCTATCCTATATCCTCTCTGGTGTCTATACTATAGTCTCTGGTGTGTATACTATACTATATCCTGTCTGGTGTCTATACTATACTATATCCTCTCTGGTGTCTATACTATCCTATGTCCTCTCTGGTGTCTATACTATACTATATCCTCTCTGGTGTCTATACTATACTATATCCTCTCTGGTGTCTATACTATACTCTCTGGTGTCTATACTATACTATATCCTCTCTGGTGTCTATACTATACTATATCCTCTCTGGTGTCTATACTATACTATATCCTCTCTGGTGTCTATACTATATCCTCTCTGGGTTCTATACTATACTATATCCTCTCGGATGTCTATACTATAGTATCCCATGCTATCCTGTCTCTTCTACCAGAGTTGCCCCCGGCCCCGTCCAACATCAGGAGCTGTAACATCACCGACTCCTCTGCCATCATTACCTGGTCTCTGGTCGAGGGACATTCCATCTCCAAGGTCATTGATTGATTTATTGATTGAATGTATAATTAAACTACATATAAAGCCGCTCCAGTCAGAAACACTATTCCACACTTTTAAAACAGCTATCAAGGATTTAGTCTAAAGGCTTTTTTTCTATTAAATAAAATAAAAAAATACAGTTATTTATCCTTGAGGAGCATTACTTATTTCCATTGTGATTCTCAGGTGATGCTGCGTTTCCAAGACAACACACTGGCTGACTACAGCCAGCTGGCAGAGATCAACGTTCCGCAGCAGGGGGAGGGGCCAGAGCAGCAGACAGCCAATCAGATGCAGTTCCAGCTGCGTGGTCTGAAACCTGACACTCCGTACCTGGTGGAGATCTGGTCCAAGAACAACATGGGGGAGAGTCTAGAGATACCTCAGATCCTCCTCCGGACCATGACGCTGCAGGAGAGCTCTCGTAAGTTAGTTACCCACAATACCTTACACCTGTAAATTAGTTACCCACAGTCAGGGCCTAAAATTATGGTACAGCATGCAGGTACATTTTGGCATTGGTGGGTAAGATGCCTATTTCACCAGCCACGTTGGCGGGTGGTCGGGGCTCCACAGTGAGAGCATTTCACTCACATTTGATCAAGTATGATCACATTTATAGTAAAATAAATGCTGCAGTAGCTGTTTTCAAAGTATTTCCACCTCGCGCTGCAACACTGCCTGGCTGAGGGCTGTGCACACGTGAAGAGCGGAGTGAAAGATTCATTTTTAGAAGTACTGTGCACAGGCATAAAAGTTGGTCTAATTTACTTGAAACAAAAGCCTAAATGCTCTATTAGACTGGTGCCGACGAAGATGGCGGCCTCGCGACTAGCTCTTAGGAAACTTTGCGGTATTTTGTTTTTTTATGTATTATTTTTTACATTATTAGCTCAGAAAGTGTTTTGTATCATTACGTACAGCCGGGAAAAAACTATTGGATATCAGAGCGGCGGTAATTCACCAGGATTACGACAAGGAATATGACTTTCCCGAAGTAGATCCTTTGTTTGCTCTCCCCAGGGCAACTGAACTGATTCCAGCGGCTGACCCAAAACATCGACGATGGAGGAGAGGCACTCGGAGCGGCCTGCTGGTTTGACTGAGGAAGCGCGCACACCACCCACCGTTTCCAAGTATACTACTCGCTAATGTTCAGTCTCTGGTTAACAAGCTCGACGAGCTCCGGGCAAGGATTTCTTTCCAGAGAGACATCAAGGCCTGTAACATACTTTGTTTCACGGAAACATGGCTCTCTGGGGATATTCTGTCGAAATCGGTCCAGCCAGATGGGTTCTCAGTTCATTGCACAGACAGGAATAAATATATCTCCGGGAAGCAGAAGGGCGGAGGTGTGTGTTTCATGATTAACGACTCATGGTGTAATTGTAGTAACATACAGGAACTCAAGTCCTTTTGTTCACCCGACCTAGAATACCTCACAATCAAATGCCGACCGAATTATCTCTTATAGTCACGGCCGTGTATATCCCCCCTCAAGCCGATACCACGACGGCCCTCAAATAACTTCACTGGACTTTATGCAAACTGGAAACCACATATCCTGAGGCTGCATTTATTGTAGCCAGGGATTTTAACAAAGCAAATTTGAGGACTAGGCTGCCGAAGTTCTATCAACATATCGACTGTTGTACTCGCGCTGCTAAAATCCTCGACCATTGCTATTTGAACTTCCGGGATGGTTATAAGGCCCTCCACCGCCCTCCTTTCGGCAAATCTGACCACGACTCCATTTTGCTCCTCCCTTCCTATAGGCAGAAACTCAAACAGGAAGTACCCGTGCTAAGGACTATTCAACGCTGGTCTGACCAATCGGAATAACGCTTCAAGATTATTTTGATCACGTGGACTGGGATACGTTCCGGGTAGCTTGCGAAAATAATTTAGACGAATACACTGAAACGGTGACTGAAGGAACTGTATAGGTGATGTTGTGCCCACTGTGACTATTAAAACCTACCCTAACCAGAAACCGTGGATAGATGGCAGCATTCGCGCAAAACTGAAAGCGCGAACCACCGCATTCAACCATGGCAAGGTGACTGGGAATATGGAAGAATACAAACAGTGTAGCTACTCACTCCGCAAGGCAATTAAACTGGCAAAACATCAGTATAGAGACAAAGTGGAGTCGCAATTCAACGGCTCAGACACGAGACGCGCGTGGCAGGGTCTACAGAAGGAAAACCAGCCACATCGCCGACACCGACGTCTCGCTTCCAGACAAGCTAAACACTTTCTTCGCCCGCTTTGAGGATAACACAGTGCCACCGACGAGGCCCACTACCAAGGGCTGTGGCCTCTCCTTTTCTGTGGCCGACGTGATTAAGACATTTAAGCATGTTAACCCCCGCAAGGCTGCCGGCCCAGATGGCATCCCTAGCCGCGTCTTCAGAGCATGCGCAGACCAGCTGGCTGGTGTGTTTTTGGACATATTCAATCTCTCCCTTTCCCAGTCTGCTGTTCCCACATGCTTCAAGATGGCCACCATTGTTCCTGTACCCAAGAAAGCAAAGGTAACTGAACTAAATGACTAACGCACCGTAGCACTCACCTCTGTCATCATGAAGTGATTTGAGAGACTAGTCAAGGATCATGTCACCTCTACCTTACCTGTCACTCTAGACACACTTCAATTTGCTTACCGCCCCAATAGATCCACAGACGATGCAATCGCCATCACACTTTACACTGCCCTATCCCATCTGGACAAGAGGAATACCTATGTAAGAATGCTGTTCATTGACTATAGCTCAGAATTCAACACCATAGTACCCTCCAAGCTCATCATTAAGCTTGAGGCCCTGGGTCTGAACCCCGCCCGGTGCAACTGGGTCCTGTACTTCCTGACGGGCCGCCCCCAGGTGGTGAAGGTAGGAAACAACATCTCCACTTCGCTGATCCTCAACACTGGGGCCCCACAAGGGTGCGTGTTCAGCAATTATAGGCAATTAGCAAGACACCCCCAATAAAGAAGTGGTTCTGCAGGTGGTGACCACAGACCACTTCTCTGTTCCTATGCTTCCTGGCTGATGTTTTGGTCACTTTTGAATGCTGGCGGTGCTTTCACTCTAGTGGTAGCATGAGACGGAGTCTACAACCCACACACGTGGCTCAGGTAGTGCAGCTCATCCAGGATGGCACATCAATGCGAGCTGTGGCAAGAAGGTTTGCTGTGTCTGTCAGCGTAGTGTCCAGAGCATGGAGGCGCTACCAGGAGACAGGCCAGTACATCAGGAGACGTGGAGGAGGCCGTAGGAGGGCAACAACCCAGCAGCAGGACCGCTACCTCCGCCTTTGTGCAAGGAGGAGCAGGAGGAGCACTGCCAGAGCCCTGCAAAATGACCTCCAGCAGGCCACAAATGTGCATGTGTCTGCTCAAACGGTCAGAAACAGACTCCATGAGGGTGGTATGAGGGCCCAACGTCCATAGGTGGGGGTTGTGCTTACAGCCCAACACCGTGCAGGACGTTTGGCATTTGCCAGAGACCACCAAGATTGGCAAATTCGCCACTGGCGCCCTGTGCTCTTCACAGATGAAAGCAGGTTCACACTGAGCACATGTGACAGACGTGACAGAGTCTGGAGACGCCGTGGAGAACGTTCTGCCGCCTGCAACATCCTCCAGCATGACCGGTTTGGCGGTGGGTCAGTCATGGTGTGGGGTGGCATTTCTTTGGGGGGCCGCACAGCCCTCCATGTGCTCGCCAGAGGTAGCCTGACTGCCATTAAGTACCGAGATGAGATCCTCAGACCACTTGTGAGACCATATGCTGGTGCGGTTGGCCCTGGGTTCCTCCTAATGCAAGACAAGGCTAGACCTCATGTGGCTGGAGTGTGTCAGCAGTTCCTGCAAGAGGAAGGCATTGATGCTATGGACTGGCCCGCCCGTTCCCCAGACCTGAATCCAATTGAGCACATCTGGGACATCATGTCTCGCTCCATCCACCAACGCCACGTTGCACCACAGACTGTCCAGGAGTTGGCGGATGCTTTAGTCCAGGTCTGGAAGGAGATCCCTCAGGAGACCATCCGTCACCTCATCAGGAGCATGCCCAGGCGTTGTAGGGAGGTCCTACAGGCACGTAGAGGCCACACACACTACTGAGCCTCATTTTGACTTGTTTTAAGGACATTACATCAAAGTTGGATCAGCCTGTAGTGTGGTTTTCCACTTTAATGTTGAGGGTGACTCCAAATCCAGACCTCCATGGGTTGATAAATTTGATTTCCATTGATAATTTTTGTGTGATTTTGTTGTCAGCACATTCAACTATGTAAAGAAAAAAGTATTTAATAAGATTATTTCATTCATTCAGATCTAGGATGTGTTGTTTAAGTGTTTCCTTTATTTTTTTGAGCAGTGTATAAATCAAGTAGCTGGTAAGCGTGCATGTGCAACATTTGGTTCTGGGTGCCAAGATTACAACCCACTCAATGTGACACAACTAGGGACTAAGTAGTAAGATTTCACAACCCATGACTGTAGCCAACATATTTCCCCTAAAGATAGACACCCGCACACTGATGAATGCTCCCGCAGCTAACTGTGCAATGTTTCGACCCAAAGGTCTTCATCAGGCTTAACCCGCATGAAGCTTTGAGCCAAGTTATTGGATGTGCGTACACCATGTTTGAAACATATTACCGCTCCTCTCCTCCTCTCCTCCTCCCCCAACCCCCTCCCCCCCCCCCCCTCCCCCTCCTCCTACCCCTCCCCCCTCCTCCTACCCCTCCTCCCCCTCCTCCTACCCCTCCTCCCCTCCTCCTCCCCTCCACTACGCACGACCCCCCCTCCTCCCTCTCCTCCTACCCCTCCTCCCCCTCCTGCCTACCCCCTCCTCCCTCCTCCTACCCCTCTCCCTCCCTGCCTACCCTCCCTACCCCCTTCCCACTTCCCCCCTCCTCCCTCTCCTCCGCCTCCACCCCCTCCTCCCTCTCCTCCTCCCCCTCCCCTAACCCCTCCTCCCCTCCTCCTACCCCTCCCCCCCTCCTCCTACCCCCTCCCACCCCCTCCTCCCCCTCCTCCCCCCTCCTCCCCTCCTCCTCCCCCAGGTCTAGCTGGGCTTGGCAGCGAGGGCAACATGCTGTTCTATGCCATCCTGGGTTCTGCTGGGATGACCTGCATCACCATCCTACTGGCCTTCTGCATCGTCCTACAGCTGAAGAGAGCCACCTTCCAGAGACGTATGGTCCAGACCTTCCAGAACATAGTGGTGAGTTCTGGGTCGGCCTGGCTCTCTTTAGTGCTTCCCATAATGGGTCGGCCTGGCTCTCTTTAGTGCTTCCCATAATGGGTCGGCCTGGCTCTCTTTAGTGCTTCCCATAATGGGTCGGCCTGGCTCTCTTTAGTGCTTCCCATAATGGCTCGGCCTGGCTCTCTTTAGTGCTTCCCATATTGTGGATACATAAACACAGATGAGAACCCTCACGAAGCATTTACATTGTGGAAGAGACGTTAGCTGTAGACGGCAGTATTCTATTGCTTCCGTACACACTACAAACACAGATATATGGATGAGCACAACACCTCTAGAACAATCTATGATTTTCTCGTCCATGTGTAGAGAGAGGAGCCAGTGGTCCAGTTTAGTTCTGGCTCTCTCAACCTGCCCAATAAGAAACATAAGAACCCAGAGCAGCCCGTGGCCTACCCCACCCTGGAGTGGAGCGACATCAAGTTCCAGGACGTCATCGGAGAGGGAAACTTCGGCCAGGTGCTCAAAGCTCGCATCAAGAAGGACGGGCTAAGGATGGACGCTGCTATTAAACGAATGAAAGGTGCTCCTTTAATTAATAAATGGATGGATGGATGGATGGATGGATGGATGAATTAATGAATTAAAAGATTTAACGTCTCACTATCTCATTATATTTAACAGAGTATGCGTCTAAAGACGACCACAGGGACTTTGCAGGGGAGCTGGAGGTGCTGTGTAAACTAGGCCATCACCCCAACATCATCAACCTACTGGGGGCCTGTGAACACAGAGGTAATATAATAACATCATCAACCTACTGGGGGCCTGTGAACACAGAGGTAATATAATAACATCATCAACCTACTGGGGGCCTGTGAACACAGAGGTAATATAATAATATCATCAACCTACTGGGGGCCTGTGAACACAGAGGTAATATAATAATATCATCAACCTACTGGGGGCCTGTGAACACAGAGGTAATATAATAATATCATCAACCTACTGGGGGCCTGTGAACACAGAGGTAATATAATAATATCATCAACCTACTGGGGGCCTGTGAACACAGTTTCATCCAAACAAACCAAAGTGTATTGTACACTGAAATATAAATATGGGGAGAAAAATGATGCAATGAAGTGCCATAATGCTCCCTGCTTCTCTCTGTCTCCAGGCTACCTGTACCTGGCCATAGAGTACTATGAACTGATTCAATTGTTATTAACCAGTGTTTTCTGTCTCCAGGCTACCTGTACCTGGCCATAGAGTTCGCCCCTCATGGCAACCTGTTGGACTTCCTGCGTAAGAGCAGAGTTTTGGAGACTGACCCGGCCTTCGCTATCGCTAACAGCACCGCCTCCACCCTCACCTCACAACAGCTGCTGCACTTTGCTGCGGACGTGGCCCGCGGCATGGACTACCTGGCTCAGAAACAGGTTAGCGTTAGCCTGGTTCCAGACCTGTTTGTGCTCTTGTAGCAGTGTTGCTTCCTTCCCTCTCCTTGCGCCAACCTGGGCTCGAACCGGGGACCCTCTGAACTCATGGACAACTGTCACCCACAAGGCATCGTTACCTGTCACTCCACAAAAGCTGCGTTTTTTGCGAAGCAAGGGAAACATTTAATTCTAGGTCTCAAAGCAGGTGACGTCACCGACTGAACGCTACTAGTGCGCGCTAACTAGCTAGCCATTTCACATCGGCTGCACTCTCTTGCCAACTCCTGTCACTTATTGTCACTTGGCGTGGGACCAGGCTAGGTTAGTGTCTCTCTGTGGTACCAGGCTAGGTTAGTGTCTCCCTGTGGTACCAGGCTAGGTTAGTGCCTCTCTGTGGTACCAGGCTAGGTCAGTGTCTCTCTGTGGTACCATGCTAGGTTAGTGTCTCTCTGTGGTACCAGGCTAGGTTAGTGTCTCTCTGTGGTACCAGGCTAGGTTAGTGCCTCTCTGTGGTACCAGGCTAGGTCAGTGTCTCTCTGTGGTACCATGCTAGGTCAGTGTCTCTCTGTGGTACCAGGCTAGGTCAGTGTCTCTCTGTGGTACCAGGCTAGGTCAGTGTCTCTCTGTGGTACCAGGCTAGGTCAGTGTCTCTCTGTGGTACCAGGCTAGGTTAGTGTCTCTCTGTGGTACCAGGCTAGGTCAGTGTCTCCCTGTGGTACCAGGCTAGGTCAGTGTCTCTCTGTGGTACCAGGCTAGGTCAGTGTCTCTCTGTGGTACCAGGCTAGGTCAGTGTCTCTCTGTGGTACCAGGCTAGGTCATTGTCTCTCTGTGGTACCAGGCTAGGTCAGTGTCTCTCTGTGGTACCAGGCTACTTCAGTGTCTCTCTGTGGTACCAGGCTAGGTCAGTGTCAGATCCCAGAGACAAGAGATCTAGCTTTTAGTCATCACATCCCATAAGGCATTGCACAGAGGATTTATTCTTGTGAGTTGAATAATCTGACCAGATCTTTTCCCATTTCTAGTTCATCCACAGAGACCTGGCAGCCAGAAACATCCTGGTGGGAGAGAGCTTAGGGGCCAAAATAGCCGACTTCGGTCTCTCCAGAGGGCAGGAGGTCTATGTGAAGAAGACGATGGTAAGAGTCTCTGAAGCTGACAAACTTCAACGTCAACATAAATTCACACTAAATGATCCTCTCAGGCCGCTGTGGTCACAAACAGAAGGCAGTCACCTAGCCTGCCTTCCAGTTGGCGGAGGGACACACCAGGGCTGCCCACTAGCACCACTCTTATTAGCCATGGTGCTGAAACTTTGTTATTCACGAAGACATCTTTACTGTGTGTGTTGAGACAGACATGTCTTTTTATTGTGTGGATTGAGAAAGACATGTCTTTTTATTGTGTGGATTGAGAAAGTCATGTCTCTTTACTGTGTTTTCAAACAGGGACGGTTACCTGTCAGGTGGATGGCCATAGAATCACTGACCTACAGTGTCTATACCACCAACAGTGACGTGTGAGTACTGAATCCTACCACTGATAGTGACGTGTGAGTACCGCATCCTACCACTGATAGTGATGTGTGAGTACCGCATCCTACCACTGATAGTGACGTGTGAGTACCGCATCCTACCACTGATAGTGATGTGTGAGTACCGCATCCTACCACTGATAGTGATGTGTGAGTACCGCATCCTACCACTGATAGTGACGTGTGAGTACCGCATCCTACCACTGACAGTGACGTGTGAGTACCGCATCCTACCACTGACAGTGACGTGTGAGTACCGCATCCTACCACTGATAGTGACGTGAGTACTGAATCCTACCACTGACAGTGATGTGTGAGTACCGCATCCTACCACTGATAGTGACGTGTGAGTACTGCATCCTACCACTGACAGTGACGCGTGAGTAATGCATCCTACCACTGACAGTGAGTACTGCATCCTACCACTGACTGTGAGTACTGCATCCTACCACTGACTGTGAGTACTGCATCCTACCACTGACTGTGAGTACTGCATCCTACCACTGACAGTGAGTACTGCATCCTACCACTGACAGTGAGTACTGCATCCTACCACTGATAGTGATGTGTGAGTACTGCATCCTACCACTGACAGTGAGTACTGCATCCTACCACTGACAGTGAGTACGGCATCCTACCACTGATAGTGATGTGTGAGTACTGCATCCTACCACTGATAGTGATGTGTGAGTACTGCATCCTACCACTGACAGTGAGTACTGCATCCTACCACTGATAGTGATGTGTGAGTACTGCATCCTACCACTGACAGTGAGTACTGCATCCTACCACTGACAGTGAGTACGGCATCCTACCACTGATAGTGATGTGTGAGTACTGCATCCTACCACTGATAGTGAGTACTGCATCCTACCACTGACAGTGAGTACGGCATCCTACCACTGATAGTGATGTGTGAGTACTGCATCCTACCACTGACAGTGAGTACTGCATCCTACCACTGACAGTGAGTACGGCATCCTACCACTGATAGTGATGTGTGAGTACTGCATCCTACCACTGACAGTGAGTACGGCATCCTACCACTGACAGTGAGTACGGCATCCTACCACTGATAGTGATGTGTGAGTACTGCATCCTACCACTGACAGTGAGTACTGCATCCTACCACTGACAGTGAGTACGGCATCCTACCACTGATAGTGATGTGTGAGTACTGCATCCTACCACTGACAGTGAGTACTGCATCCTACCAGACAGTGAGGCATCCTACCACTGACAGTGAGTACTGCATCCTACCACTGACAGTGAGTACTGCATCCTACCACTGACAGTGAGTACTGCATCCTACCACTGACAGTGAGTACTGCATCCTACCACTGACAGTGAGTACTGCATCCTACCACTGACAGTGAGTACTGCATCCTACCACTGACAGTGAGTACTGCATCCTACCACTGACAGTGATGTGTGAGTACTGCATCCTACCACTGATAGTGATGTGTGAGTACTGCATCCTACCACTGACAGTGAAAGTTGCAGACTGAACATGTGCCAGATACACATTATATGAACCAATGAATTGAAAACGGATTGTCTTTCTCTCTTCAATCCCAGATGGTCGTATGGTGTACTTCTCTGGGAGATAGTGAGCTTAGGTTTGTATCCAGTGGGGTAAATGATATATACACTGTACTGTTTGGAGTGAAGTGGAGTCTGATTTTTTATTTTTTTATTTTTTTATTTAACCTTTATTTAACTAGGCAAGTCAGTTAAGAACAAAATCGTTTTTTTACAATGACAGTCTACTTACAATGACGGCCTACAATACAGAAATAGAATGACTAGAATGGTTAACCTAGTCAGTAATTCCTTTACTATGGAGTCTCATAGTCCTGTTGCGTGTTTGTATCAGGAGGTACTCTGTACTGTGGGATGACCTGTGTGTGTGTGTGTGTGTGTGTGTGTGTGTGTGTGTGTGTGTGTGTGTGTGTGTGTATCAGGAGGTACTCCGTACTGTGGGATGACCTGTGCTGAGCTGTATGAGAAACTCCCTCAGAGCTACCGGCTGGAGAAACCACTCAACTGTGACGATGAGGTGTAGGTACCACAGACAGAGCAGAGATCACAGGAATATACACACATACATTATTAGTAAAAACATCTACATTTGGAATTCAAGATTATTCACCATGTATAATACGGATATACAGTGTACCACCCCTCTCCTGTGTGGTCGTGTCCAGGTATGACCTGATGCGGCAGTGCTGGACAGAGAAGCCATGCGAGAGGCCCACGTTCCAACAGATACTGGTCTCCCTCAAACGGATGCTGGAGGACAGGAAGGTCAATCAAACACACATTTCATTTTCTTCAGGAAATGTACCTTTTTGAGTTTCATATTATATACACTAGGGTCTGTAGTAAGGTGAACTGAATGTTTTCTAACCTTTCAATGAAAACAGTGTTCTAAATAAAATCCTATTGTTACTTGTTATTATTTCTGAATTAGTTTAATAATTAACATGATTTAATCATTAACATTATTTCTCTGTGTGTTGTTCGATAGACATATGTCAACACCACCCTGTATGAGAAGTTCACCTATGCTGGCATTGACTGCTCCGCAGAAGAAGCAGGATGATCTTGTGCTAAAACTACAGCATCGTGTTGTACAGGAATCATAAATCTACGTGGGTTTAAGCCAATCCTACACCGGGGATTCAAGGACTAGTATTGTGCGCATATTGTGTATTCCAAGTTATGCGCTTAAACATTGAATCATAAAACTGACAGTCAAGACTGTCATCTTGATGTAAACCTGCGTTATTGTTGATGATTCCCAAATGGCACCCTATTCCCTATGGGTCCTGGTCAAAAGTAGTGCACTATATAGGGAATAGGGTTCTATTTGGGATGCATCCTATGATAGTCATTGGCTGACCTATAACAACATTGTAATGCAGTGAAACCAGATGTTACAGACATGTCAGCCAACAGTGATGTCACATGTATTGTAAATATCTTTTCACAAACTGAGGCCTAGATTCAATCAGATCAATGCGTTAACCGGCATAGCTAATGTTTTGGCGGGGTCTGAGGCGTAACTGCGGTTGGGGCCTTAAAGGTCAGTGAGCAGCTGCTCTTGTGATTATTGCCAGAAGCCACACCCCGTCCCGCTCGCTTTAGAAGTTCACAACGAGAAAGTGTAGGCCACAGGCCTAGCCTGCAGAAATAATGACGCTCAAATTGAAAATCATTAAAGAAAATAATGAGGATTTCTATCAGCCTTATGGAGGTGTAGATTCCATCTCACATTCCAGTGTTACAGCTTGTAAACTAGGCTGCATGGGATTTATCTTAATGCGACTCCATGCGGCCAACGGCGACGTCCTCTTCAGGTATAATACCGGAAGCTTCTAGTGGATTTGACAGCTCTAACACAGTTCCGCCTCTGCCAAAACAACCGCGACTCCATGCGGCCAACGGCGACGTCCTCTTCAGGTATAATACCGGAAGCTTCTAGTGGATTTGACAGCTCTAACACAGTTCCGCCTCTGCCAAAACAACCGCGACTCCATGCGGCCAACGGCGACGTCCTCTTCAGGTATAATACCGGAAGCTTCTAGTGGATTTGACAGCTCTAACACAGTTCCGCCTCTGCCAAAACAACCGCGACTCCATGCGGCCAACGGCGACGTCCTCTTCAGGTATAATACCGGAAGCTTCTAGTGGATTTGACAGCTCTAACACAGTTCCGCCTCTGCCAAAACAACCGCGACTCCATGCGGCCAACGGCGACGTCCTCTTCAGGTATAATACCGGAAGCTTCTAGTGGATTTGACAGCTCTAACACAGTTCCGCCTCTGCCAAAACAACCGCGACTCCATGCGGCCAACGGCGACGTCCTCTTCAGGTATAATACCGGAAGCTTCTAGTGGATTTGACAGCTCTAACACAGTTCCGCCTCTGCCAAAACAACCGCGACTCCATGCGGCCAACGGCGACGTCCTCTTCAGGTATAATACCGGAAGCTTCTAGTGGATTTGACAGCTCTAACACAGTTCCGCCTCTGCCAAAACAACCGCGACTCCATGCGGCCAACGGCGACGTCCTCTTCAGGTATAATACCGGAAGCTTCTAGTGGATTTGACAGCTCTAACACAGTTCCGCCTCTGCCAAAACAACCGCTACTCCATGCGGCCAACGGCGACGTCCTCTTCAGGTATAATACCGGAAGCTTCTAGTGGATTTGACAGCTCTAACACAGTTCCGCCTCTGCCAAAACAACCGCTACTCCATGCGGCCAACGGCGACGTCCTCTTCAGGTATAATACCGGAAGCTTCTAGTGGATTTGACAGCTCTAACACAGTTCCGCCTCTGCCAAAACAACCGCTACTCCATGCGGCCAACGGCGACGTCCTCTTCAGGTATAATACCGGAAGCTTCTAGTGGATTTGACAGCTCTAACACAGTTCCGCCTCTGCCAAAACAACCGCTACTCCATGCGGCCAACGGCGACGTCCTCTTCAGGTATAATACCGGAAGCTTCTAGTGGATTTGACAGCTCTAACACAGTTCCGCCTCTGCCAAAACAACCGCTACTCCATGCGGCCAACGGCGACGTCCTCTTCAGGTATAATACCGGAAGCTTCTAGTGGATTTGACAGCTCTAACACAGTTCCGCCTCTGCCAAAACAACCGCTACTCCATGCGGCCAACGGCGACGTCCTCTTCAGGTATAATACCGGAAGCTTCTAGTGGATTTGACAGCTCTAACACAGTTCCGCCTCTGCCAAAACAACCGCGACTCCATGCGGCCAACGGCGACGTCCTCTTCAGGTATAATACCGGAAGCTTCTAGTGGATTTGACAGCTCTAACACAGTTCCGCCTCTGCCAAAACAACCGCGACTCCATGCGGCCAACGGCGACGTCCTCTTCAGGTATAATACCGGAAGCTTCTAGTGGATTTGACAGCTCTAACACAGTTCCGCCTCTGCCAAAACAACCGCGACTCCATGCGGCCAACGGCGACGTCCTCTTCAGGTATAATACCGGAAGCTTCTAGTGGATTTGACAGCTCTAACACAGTTCCGCCTCTGCCAAAACAACCGCGACTCCATGCGGCCAACGGCGACGTCCTCTTCAGGTATAATACCGGAAGCTTCTAGTGGATTTGACAGCTCTAACACAGTTCCGCCTCTGCCAAAACAACCGCTACTCCATGCGGCCAACGGCGACGTCCTCTTCAGGTATAATACCGGAAGCTTCTAGTGGATTTGACAGCTCTAACACAGTTCCGCCTCTGCCAAAACAACCGCTACTCCATGCGGCCAACGGCGACGTCCTCTTCAGGTATAATACCGGAAGCTTCTAGTGGATTTGACAGCTCTAACACAGTTCCGCCTCTGCCAAAACAACCGCTACTCCATGCGGCCAACGGCGACGTCCTCTTCAGGTATAATACCGGAAGCTTCTAGTGGATTTGACAGCTCTAACACAGTTCCGCCTCTGCCAAAACAACCGCTACTCCATGCGGCCAACGGCGACGTCCTCTTCAGGTATAATACCGGAAGCTTCTAGTGGATTTGACAGCTCTAACACAGTTCCGCCTCTGCCAAAACAACCGCTACTCCATGCGGCCAACGGCGACGTCCTCTTCAGGTATAATACCGGAAGCTTCTAGTGGATTTGACAGCTCTAACACAGTTCCGCCTCTGCCAAAACAACCGCTACTCCATGCGGCCAACGGCGACGTCCTCTTCAGGTATAATACCGGAAGCTTCTAGTGGATTTGACAGCTCTAACACAGTTCCGCCTCTGCCAAAACAACCGCTACTCCATGCGGCCAACGGCGACGTCCTCTTCAGGTATAATACCGGAAGCTTCTAGTGGATTTGACAGCTCTAACACAGTTCCGCCTCTGCCAAAACAACCGCTACTCCATGCGGCCAACGGCGACGTCCTCTTCAGGTATAATACCGGAAGCTTCTAGTGGATTTGACAGCTCTAACACAGTTCCGCCTCTGCCAAAACAACCGCTACTCCATGCGGCCAACGGCGACGTCCTCTTCAGGTATAATACCGGAAGCTTCTAGTGGATTTGACAGCTCTAACACAGTTCCGCCTCTGCCAAAACAACCGCTACTCCATGCGGCCAACGGCGACGTCCTCTTCAGGTATAATACCGGAAGCTTCTAGTGGATTTGACAGCTCTAACACAGTTCCGCCTCTGCCAAAACAACCGCTACTCCATGCGGCCAACGGCGACGTCCTCTTCAGGTATAATACCGGAAGCTTCTAGTGGATTTGACAGCTCTAACACAGTTCCGCCTCTGCCAAAACAACCGCTACTCCATGCGGCCAACGGCGACGTCCTCTTCAGGTATAATACCGGAAGCTTCTAGTGGATTTGACAGCTCTAACACAGTTCCGCCTCTGCCAAAACAACCGCTACTCCATGCGGCCAACGGCGACGTCCTCTTCAGGTATAATACCGGAAGCTTCTAGTGGATTTGACAGCTCTAACACAGTTCCGCCTCTGCCAAAACAACCGCTACTCCATGCGGCCAACGGCGACGTCCTCTTCAGGTATAATACCGGAAGCTTCTAGTGGATTTGACAGCTCTAACACAGTTCCGCCTCTGCCAAAACAACCGCGACTCCATGCGGCCAACGGCGACGTCCTCTTCAGGTATAATACCGGAAGCTTCCAGTGGATTTGACAGCTCTAACACAGTTCCGCCTCTGCCAAAACAACCGCGACTCCATGCGGCCAACGGCGACGTCCTCTTCAGGTATAATACCGGAAGCTTCTAGTGGATTTGACAGCTCTAACACAGTTCCGCCTCTGCCAAAGCAACCGCGACTCCATGCGGCCAACGGCGACGTCCTCTTCAGGTATAATACCGGAAGCTTCTAGTGGATTTGACAGCTCTAACACAGTTCCGCCTCTGCCAAAACAACCGCTACTCCATGCGGCCAACGGCGACGTCCTCTTCAGGTATAATACCGGAAGCTTCTAGTGGATTTGACAGCTCTAACACAGTTCCGCCTCTGCCAAAACAACCGCTACAGAATCTATCCCCAAACCACTACATAGACAGCTGTATCCTTAAAACCAATAAAAGGTTTTGTGATTAAATACTTATCTGTGATGTATGATTATTGACGCTTTTGACTAATGATATGAATACCTTACAATTCTGAGGATCTAACCACGTTTGTTCTTGTAAACGGCATATGGGCCTGAAACCACCTAGTGGTATAGGATTCAAGCAGTTTATAAAGCATTGAGCCATGTCCAACCAACCTACAGCATATGGGTCATTCCACCTAGTGGTATAGTATTCAAGCAGTTTCCAACCAACCTACAGTATATGGGTCATTCCACCAATGCGGTGCCTTTTGAGAAGTGTAACTGGGTAAAAAATAAGAGTCTCCTGACTGTCCTAGAGTCTCCTGACTGTCCTAGTCTCCTGACTGTCCTAGTCTCCTGACTGTCCTAGAGTCTCCTGACTGTCCTAGAGTCTCCTGACTGTCCTAGTCTCCTGACTGTCCTAGAGTCTCCTGACTGTCCTAGTCTCCTGACTGTCCTAGAGTCTCCTGACTGTCCTAGAGTCTCCTGACTGTCCTAGAGTCTCCTGACTGTCCTAGAGTCTCCTGACTGTCCTAGTCTCCTGACTGTCCTAGAGTCTCCTGACTGTCCTAGAGTCTCCTGACTGTCCTAGTCTCCTGACTGTCCTAGTCTCCTGACTGTCCTAGTCTCCTGACTGTCCTAGTCTCCTGACTGTCCTAGAGTCTCCTGACTGTCCTAGAGTCTCCTGACTGTCCTAGTCTCCTGACTGTCCTAGAGTCTCCTGACTGTCCTAGAGTCTCCTGACTGTCCTAGTCTCCTGACTGTCCTA